TTCCGGATAAAAACTACAGTGGTAAAAGTGATGACTAAGAAAGTGAGAAATTGGTAAAACTATTATTATTATGTTTTAATATCGCTACAGCTGCGAATTACACAAGGACATTTTTTTTACACTTTGCATTTATTGTGTTTTCCATCACCGCCCCGTGCAACATGTCTGCAGAACTCATCGGCATCATCATTGGTTGTCCTAGAAAGTGCACATAGGGAAATGAGACGTTATTTCTTTACTAGTTCGGTAAAATAATTCGTTAATGATAACATGTATTAAAATTATGAGCAAACTATTTTAAAAACTTACTTTAAATTAAGTCTTAATTGTTCATTCTTTCAGCTTTGAATATCCCTTAAATGCTTACTTGGGAATGAATTTTATTCAATTGCTAAATTTTGTTTGCGGTCGATTTGATGCTTTGCACCAATTTTACTTGTAATTCTATTTATAGGTTTTTTATTTTGACAGTAGGTGTTGACATGGTTACTAAAATAGAAATGTATGTGAAATTCTTATAAAATAGTTTTCCTCCAACAGTTTTGTTCTGATTTCAGTAAGATTTTGTAGACTATAAAGTAGACTATACTACTAAGATACTTTTAATTTTGTGTATCGGTTTTGATTTCGGCAAAAGATGTTCCCATGTTTACTAAAAATAGAAATTTCTTTGAAATTCTTTCAAAACATTACTCCACCTACATTTTTGGTTCCGATTCTAATAAGACTTGGTAAACGAGTAGATTATACAAAGATACATCTTTCTTATTACAAATACATACCAGCAGAGCTACAGTCTCTTCAGAGACTTCTGGTTGATATACGTCAATGGCATGTTAACTAGTGTTTACACAGATTGCAAACTATTTTATTCAATTATTAATGTTCATTTTCATTCCTTCGTTGATTCGAGATATCCCTTTGAACTCGAAATAAAAAAAACAACAAATTCTCTGACACATCTCTTTCATATTAAGATATTTTACTAGAGAAAGACATTAATGGCAAACTTACGACAAACTTTATGATAAACGTGATGACTTTAACTTTTCTATCGTCAACTTCTCTTATTTATGTAGCAATATATCATTTATCATCTAGTTGCATATGGAGTTTATGTCACCCAGTTGATTCAATATGCAAGTGCATGTTTTACGTATGAACATTTTCCAAAAAGAGGCAGTCTTAATAAATAAGTTGATGACACAAGGATATCAACAGTCTCGTTTAAAGTCAACATTTTTGCAAATTCTGTGATCGATACAATGACTTTTTAGCAAATACAATCTATCGTTAAGTCGAATGTTGACTGACGTTTTTCATACAAATTTTTAGGCCATTATTATAACACTGAATTGTCCAATGATTTTCCGTTTACCCGATCACAACAAGGAGTACAAGGCGGATGTGACTGGTCAACAGGGGATGCTTACTTCTCCTTGGCACCCGATCCCATCTCTGATGTTTTTAGAGGTCCGTGTTTACTCTGCTTACATTGTTCCAATGGACTTTTGTGCTTAATTACTGTTCGTTATCTTTATATTTCTGTAATACGCTGATGTCAGTACTATTTAATTTGCACATAAAGATCCAGATTTTATATCTGGCTCGTAGATTAATAAATTATATTTATATTTATAGGTAAAACTGAATGCATCTTATTTAGGTTCCAGAAGGAAGCTTCAGAATGTTCATAATATCCATGTTGTATGCAATGCTCTGTTGAATGTAAAGAAAAGGTTTATAATTGTCCAAGGACATTTTTTGTTACTTAACAAAGAAATTTAATAACTCTGAAAATCCCAGGAGGAAGGGGGGAGGGGAGGGGAAGGGGTCAGGTCCACCCCTGACAACCCCTCTAGATCCGCGCATGACTCTTGTAGTGTAGACTGCCTTTGGTGCTCTATTCCTTATTCTTTAAGATATACAATGTATATGTATATCATAAATCTTTATTCAAAACCAATCCTTTGCAATGAAATATGGAGATAACGAACAGTATCCAAGCTCATAAGTCCATTCAAACTATACAAATCAGAAGCAGAGTAAACATGGGCCTCCAAAAACATCAGACGATGAATCAGGTGCCATGGAGGAGTAAGCATCCCCTGTTGACCGGTCCCATTCACCTTGTGCTCCTTGTCATAATTGGGTAAACGGAAAAATCTGTAGAAATTTCAGTGTGTAAATAATGGTCTAACCGTTAGTATGAAAAACGTCAGTCAACAAAACCTATCATTTGACCTAATGATAGATTGTACATTTGCTGATAAGGTCATTTTATCGACCATAGAACTTACAAAATGATGACTTCATACGAGATTGTTGATATCCTTGTTTCATCAACTTGTTGGTTAATAGATTGCCTCGTTTTAAAAAATTAATCATACATAGAGCATGCTCTTGCGTATCGGATCAACTGGGAGACATAAACCCCATATGCAGATGATAAGGGTATATTGCTACAACTGACAATAGAAAATTTGAAGTCATCACGTTTATCGTAAAGTTACCATTAACTTCCTTTTCTAGTAAGATATCCAAATATGAAACAGATGTGTCAGAATATGTGGTGTCTTTTACTTCAAGTTCAGTGGGATATACCGAATCGACATATGAATGGAAGTAACTATTGTTAATTGATAATACGTCGTCTAAATGTCGAGTTGAAGGCCACAGCGAGCGTTTTCTTCTTCTCATGTAGAAGTTTTTGAATAAATTCTGCTTCATATGAATACAAAAATAGATCTGCTAATAACGGGGCACAATTGGTACCGATGGGAATTCCAACAGATTGTTGGAAGTCCTGATCTCCAAAAATAAATTGATATTGTCAGAAACAAATGTTTTCGTTAGAATGTACTTGGATAAGTTTATCTTTAGTGGACAGACTCTGAAGTCACATTTCTTTCCATATATAGCTGTACTTCGATATTTCTTACATGTATGCGCATATTGTAGACTGTCGGTGGAGCCTCACCACTGTGTAAGGATGTATTCTGCCGGCAATGCTGAGGTGTCTGCCATTTTTACGGAACTTCTCTGGTTCTGCCTATCAAAATAAACATATTTTTTAACCACTAACCCCTTATTTTCTATTTACATTTTGATTCTTTGTAGTTTTGATAGTATTCTCAACAAATATGAAGAAAAGTAAAATTCCAGATCATAAGTTTTCAGAGAGAGAAAATTTTTATTCATTGTCTATGACAAATCCCAAGAAGTCTGGTTTCCTGTCATATTTTCCTATGCCTTATATCTGAAAAATATGCTCACTAACTTATATTTTACTCTTCCGTATTTTGTTTCAAATAACTAATTCATCGACTTTAAGTACTAAAATTGAAAAGTTAAGTTCAAGTTATCTCAACAGAATGCATCCTTAAAAAAGATTTCGATATTCCTTTTTCCATATTTCTTTTTCAGTGACATGTACTGGAAGTTATTTCTTTAGTGTGTGTATTGGGCTGTTTCTTATGCCATGTTTCTTTTCAGAGTATTCTTTATTGAAATTGGCTTATGGGAATGTCTTTAAGATGTATCCTGGTCTGTCCTTCGTGCCACATTTCTACTTCTGTATCTTAAGGCACTTTGAGTGATTTTCGTACATCTATTGTGTCGACTGACACTTGTCTAATGTAGTGAGTCTGAGTATTGCGGAGTTCCTTTATTATACTAAAGTTAGTTAGTTATATTTAAGGTGAATTGTTTACTTCTCTTTTAGTATGTAGATGAACAGTAATTTCTTTACTTAATAATATGTACTCTCCCTTTTACTAAAACTCTGCTACATTATAGGAAATCCTTGCATTTTTGGCTGTGAACTTTTCTTCGCGACATATTATTTTCTGTACTTTTCTACATTGAAAAGTAATGACCGTGTAACGTTAAGAATATTTTTTGTATGGTAAATATGTCCATGGTCTACTGAGAGAGTCTTTAGAGTGCGTATGGACTGTGACTGTCCTTGATTGCCAATGTTCTATTAAGACAGGCCCGTAGGAAGCAATTTCAGTTGGGGGGGGGGGGGCACAGCCATACATTTTCAGTTGAGGAGGCACTATCAACTACCAAAATTTCTTGACAAGCAAAAAGAAAATAAAAAGCTCATCAGACGTTTTTATTGAGGGGGCACAAGTATATAGTATCTATGTTTTCTATAGTAATCTATATATCGGCAAAATTATGGGGGGGGGGCACGCCCCCCCCCCCCCGGTTCCTACGGCCATGTAAGATGTAGTAATTGATGCATTCCTTCATCCCACACAAGATTTTTATCGATATTTATGCTATTTCTTCAGGACGAAAAATTGAATTGTTCATGGTCTTATTCAACAGATTGAATCATCAAATGGTCAGGAATATTTGCTTTATGGGAAGTGTAATCAAAGTTTGGCCTTGGGTCTAGAAATATTACTTTTTATGCTCATCGGATTATTTTTTTTTTTTTTTTTGGGAACGACAGAATCAGCATATGCACGTCCCTTATACAAGTCTTATGAAAAGAAATTACTGAAACGTTTAATTATAATTCAAGTTTCCTAAAGTTCTCATTCAAGGGTTCTATTTTGTCTGGTTAAGTTTGAGTATAGGTATGCATGGTCACTATAAGAATGTTTTCAAGTTTAACAATTTATTTTTTTTTCCACTCCTTTAATAACTAATTTAAACAAAAGGAATTTAAGCAATGTGCACTTATATAAACAAAAGTGTATAGAATGACTAGATGAACAACAAATTGGCATGCAATGACATGACAACTGGTGACTGGACGTCGATGAGCTACTAATAAATAACAAAAATGCCTCTGAAATGAATGGTAATACATGTACTACATTGGTGAAAGCACTGTTTTAATCTGAAGATGACTTTATTGACTCTGTCAGTTCGTCACTACGTTTGTTTAATTCTCGGACGTCATCGAAGAGATTACGTAATTCACGTTGACGGATCTCGTTCTGCTTGAACGTCTTTTGTAACACTGAGCGCCGCTTCCGTTCCAATACTTCGGAATTCTCATTTTCTGGTGTAGCGTTATTAAACACAATAGACGGCATGTCCACAATGATTTGCTTCCGAACTGGAACCGCACACTTTCTATCACCGTATATAGAAAAAGACTGACTTTCCGCCAGCGGTTGACTTTCCGCCGGTGGCGCCACATCCTGGTCCCGTATACCCTGGCCATTTAGAATCAAACTGTCCGTGATTCCGTTGTTATTTTGTTCCTCTTGAGATTTCCTTGGAGAATTAACCACACGATCATTCGAATGTAAACCTCGTCCTTTACCCTCTAGAAGAGTCAAACGTTTCTTTTTATCATGCTGAAATCCCACCGATTCCTGTACAACTCTCTCTTCCGGCATTTCCATTGAATCTTCATCGTCTGAAACGTTCGTTGGTGTGTTTGTTGGGAGATAGTAAATGCAGTAGTATTCTCTCAATTTGTCCATATTTATCTTATCTTTATCACTTAACGCTTCAAACCTAATAGCTTGAGCTCGCAAATCAAGTTCGTCTGAATCCGGTCGTACTAGACGCTTTAAGCGTGTTCCGTTATTACCCTTGTAGACAGCCTTGAATGGGTTTATTTCTAATGGGTCTCTTTCTTCTCGAGACGGTAACGTACCTCGCCTGTGGATTGGAGAACCATCTAACACTAGTTCCTTGCTTTTAGCGATAGATTTACGTCCTATGTTCGGGATGCTAGATGTCGGTTGTACGGTGGTTTGTGGTATCCTTTGTAGGTTTGCCCGAACACTGTCGTCCATCAACCGTTGCGACACACCTTTTTCTGATAACTGTGGACTTTTAGAAGGTTTGTAAGTCTGTGGTTCTAGAATCTGTTTTCCCTCTAATGGGGATATATGTGGAGGAGACCTCTTTGGTCTCATTTTCTGGAAATGTTCGATGGTAGTCACTAAAGACCGCTTTGAGTCTGGCGGAAATTCCTTTGATCTGTTCCGTGCAAGCGCGTTATCTTTACTGTATTGGCGCATGCGTAATCTGTCGAGTGCATTGGCAAGGTGTGACTGCTCCTGAAGAATAAGTTCATCTCGCAAAGTGGAAAGCTTTTTAAGGTACTCAGCATGGTGCTGATAGGATGACCTATTGTCCTCAAACCAGGGCACAGTCCGGGAACGCCGGTGATCAATGCTTGTCCTCTCCATCAGTCTACAATGGTAAACAAAACATGCCAAGACAGATGATTTTACATTAAAGTGTAAAAGGAGGAACTTTCTCTGAAGCAACAAACGTTCTGTTTGTTTCTTTAAATGCACATGAACTACATGTATTCGTTCAATTTGTAAAATAGTAAGGATAAAATAATATCTTTGAATGTTCCATTTAAACAAACAATAAAAGTTTATAACTTCAGAGCTATTAAATGGATTTCTCCAAACATGAGGATTTCATGCAAGACGACGTAAATTTGAATATTTACATCTTTTTCTTTCTGCATTCTACCTTTACGCATTTTACAACCGAATTTACGAAGCTATAGTTACTGTTGCCTTATGAGGGATATTATCTTTGAAACATTTACAGAAATTCTTATCTGACAAACAAAGAAAAAACAGTGTATACAAGGAACGCAATGTAAGTCTAGAATCGATCGTGTTTAATACAATTGGCATAATAATGCCAAAAATAAAGGCTCACATCTAATGTTTGTTAAGAAAAAAAATACTGAACAAACCAACCTAGGTAGATGAAAATCCGATTCCGACGAAAATCGAAAACATCCTTTTTGTCTCATTTTACAGAGAACAATTTTCGAAAACGTTATATGTCTCCAAACTTTTACATCAAAATGTAAAGCCAAATGAAAATGAACTTAAAAAAATCACTGACGACGAACGATCGTGTTAATCCTGAGAGCTCGCGGGACGTCACATAAATCTTGAAGGAGTAACTTCTCCGACAACACTTGTGTTTAAATATTCAGACAACAACCAAAAGAAAATGCAAGAATATTCATATACGAATAGATCAATAACAGATATTTGAAATAAAGTGTTTAATGTTTGTCTTGTAAGAAGGGTTAAAAGGTTTTTCCTTCAGTACACTCCAATCTTTTCTTCTTAATTGCCACTTAATTACACACGCTCGGCAGGGGTTTCCTAGACGGGAAATGGACGGCCATCAAGGGGAGCTAATGCCCACATAAAAGATTCCACGTCAGGTGCGCACTGCAACACTGGGCATCCTTTGAAAGTCACCCTTCTTTGAAAAAGAACTATGAACTCGCCCCCGTCGTTGAGACGTGTGCTTAGATTCGATGAACTGTTCTAATGTGAGTTTTGTAACAAGGCGTAATACCCCAAGTCTTCATGGTTCCTAAGAGACAAATGCACGACTTCTTTTTAAATAACAGATTTCACAAAAATACAGAATGCGAGAAAGAAAGGAAGAAAAGATACACCTGGTTTCTTCAACCCGAACAGTCACGGGGTATTGATGTTCTTAAAGCGTTTACGGCACATTAGCTGATTATACCATTTGCAAAACAAGATTTCAAAAGAAGTAGCAATAATGTACTTAAGAGAAGTTAATTTAAGTTTTCTAATCTGCAGAAATTCTCATTTCGTTCTATACATCTATTTTATTTTGGTGACAAGTCCTGAGGAGTGATTTACAAGTTAACTGTGATTATGTTTTGCTCCATTAGTGGCTGCAAAGTAGCAATTCAACCCTATGAAGGTAATAAATGTATTAAAGAAAAATCGATGCTCTAAGCACACAGAGATTTTTATCACTCCTGACTGTTATGAAATTTCTTCAATGTTGCAGTTTCAATCAGTCTCTTTTATGCGCTATTGATCGAAAGTGAAATAATTTTTGTTGATTGTTACTTGTCCCTTTTGTCTGAAGCATGGAGTCTAATGATTCTGCACCGGAAGTTTGTTCACAAAGAGGACTGGCGATGCAAATATAAACAAAACTGCATCAAAACACCATCGAATGTCACCACACAGAAATTTCTTTATTCAAGCAAGATTCCAATTAGGAAACTCGACCACCTCTCCCCTGCAGACAAATCACCAACGATGCAGGAAGTTCAACCCGTTATCTGAATAAAAACCTTGCATGTATAATAAACTTGCTCACGATTTAACCAAAATGCGCGCGACATTCCGGAAGTAGGTCTAGTTTATCTTGACACTTGAAAAAAGAAACTGTAGACGTTTCTTTGAATCCATAATAGGCCTCTTTGACGCCTGCACTTCTTGTGACCAAGTTTCTCATTTACAAAATTGGAAATAGAACTGAACTCTAGGTTGACGCCAACTGCAATGTATGTTAACTGTAATAAAGAGAAACTAAGGAAAAGTAGAAGACAAGATAACGGTAGAATTTGCTTTGAAGAAGTGTCATGCAAATGTATGGGGAAAAATCCCCCAAATAGATGAAAATTTACATTGTTCATGTATCCCTCTAAAGGTATTATGGAAGTTGTCAAGCTCATTTAAATAAGACGAACGTTTTTTCATGCCAGTATGTAAAAAATCTAGAATTTATTTTAAAAATCATACTCATTACATATCCCTTTGTATATTATACAATAGAAATAGACAAAATCTTCTAATTTTAGACGAACATTTCTATATAAGCACTTTCAAAGCTTAGTAGCTTAGAAGTTCAATTTCCTCGACCATAGACTTTAAATGAGAATCAGTTTAAAAATTTTCAACCACTTTAAACTTTCAACTGTAAGCACCAGTACCTACCGCACAAGTAACTGTTTATCTTCATTAGACAAGGATACAGGGAACAAATTCAACAGCTTGCGCTCCTCGGACATGTTGGTTCTTCTTTATAAGGACCCTCCACACGATAGCGAGAGGCTCATAACAAACAAAATCAAAAGTCCCCACTTATTTAGAGAGAGACCAGGTTAAATAGACTTAATTGAGATACAGAAGTTCCTCACAAAACCAGCTATAATTATCGCGTGCTCAATTCTGGAGGGGACACAACATTCACAAAGGTATTAAATCATATGTCAAAACAACTCTGAAGTGCGAAGAAGAAAAATTTAAAGGACTTTGTGTATTTGATAAATATTTTTGGTGTTATTTAAACTACTGATATCGTGATTAGATCAATGTGTCAGAGGGAACGAAATCATCGGGGGGATAAGAAAGCTTCAATGGACCCCTAAGCCTTGCTAGTGTCCTCAGAGTAAACAGGGGATCTGCTGGAATCCATAAAAACGATATTATCCCACAATTACAAACCATTAATATATCATAAATTAAATATCATTCCATTAAATTATAAGAAATTGCTGAGAAAGATTTTCATTTGGTTGTAATCCCAGCAGACGAGATGACAAGCCCGGGTCAGACCTTGTTCCAGTGTATAGAACTGGCAACATGGATACTTGTATGTCTACAGAAATTTAGTCCTAAGACCTAACGATACAGGACCTCCACTGGAGAAGGCTGGGCTGACGGGGTCTCTTAACTGGAATCCAAGAAACATCAAATAGAGAGAGACAGAGATATAAAAGGCGTATCCAATAATCCTTATGTTGTAATTTATACACGACAATTTAGTCCCGCTGGTTTAACTTGAAGTGTCTAGTGTTTTAAGAAGATCAGGTGACAAATTTAATGCTATCTTCAAAAAATGCAATTTGATGCCAAATATTACGCAATAGTTCAATAAAGATATCGATCTTTAATGAATTGAAATTGTTTATTTGACGATCAAAAGAACCATCAATATGTGTAAATTAAGCGATCTTTTAATAAATTGAGGAATAAATGACAGAATAAATCATTGAATGAATAATGTTACATCGAAGGTATGCACCGGGAGCACTTTTAACTTTCTTAACTCAAAATCTTTGACAGTTACAATGTAGATCTAGTTAGAGTTAAAAAACTTAAATTGTGTCACAATACTACTCGTATGATTTTTCTTCCACAAATATTTTCTAATTTACTTATGAAAGGCTGAAATTACAAAAATCAATCGAATAAAAACGACATAAAGACAGATATGCGCTAGTATTTGAAAAGCTGCAGTCATATTCACCTTTTTAAAATTCAAAACACAACTCAGCCATTTAAAAAAAAGTCTGTATAGATGCAGATACATACACTGAACTTTCTTTTAATGTCCTTTCAATCTCATGACTTTAGGAAAAAATTAGCATCGATAGCATTCATCAGCTTTACAATGAATATCTTTTATGCCTTTCGTCACTCAATCCTGTCACTATATTGGCGACCTATATTTACTAGTATATATCCTCTTCATGAAAACTTAATTGTAATTCATCGTTTTATCAGTTACTATTCCTTTATATGGATAGAATCTTGTCAAATCTTAAAAAACTAAAATATACATCGAACATCAAGAAACGTTTATTTTTAATGTTTAAAATTACCTTAATCTTACCTCGGAGATATTTCCAGCTGAAAACAACACTACCAAAATATTTCTACAAAAAACAACTCTTGACTCCGCGGTGCCCTACAGTGAAAACTTTCTGATATCTACCTTAAAGATGTTCCAGCAATAGACCACTTATACCAACAAAGAACAGCGGGGGAGCTTATCCCTCACCTGTCCAGATTCATCTCCTAATATCGATTTGTGAAAAGCAAATAATATAAGAAAGATTACGAACCTCTTCAAATTCTAAATGATAGCATCTCAGTCACAAGCACTCAAACTGAAGTTCAAACACGACTTATCGATTTGAGATAACCGCCCTAGTGGACGAATTCTATAATGTTACACAAATTAACTTCTTGTATTTACCTAGATCTCCAGTCGTGTCATAATTTTCACTTATCTTCGGAACAAAGACGAAATAAATCTCTTCATGCATTTCATTTTACATCAATTTAAACTTTTTGCGGAACTGCAGTTCAATACAGTTAATGTTCGGCAATTGAAATACAACATTTATTCTCGGCAATGTGCTGTTTAATGGATATTCTTTCCTACAGTTTCTATTTGTTTCTACACGTTGCTAAAGAGCATGCAGAGGAAATTCCTTTAAAAGATGCATAATTATCAAAACTAAATGTTTGAAGGAGCAGTGAATGTGTTTTACACAGGAACAGAACTTTCCCAGAATGTTTTCTGTGATACTCAGTAAACTTTGTTACTGGAGGAGAAAAAAATTCCACACATCAAAAGAACATAAGCATTGTTGTCATCTTTTTATTGCAAAAAAAAAAGACCTCAAATGTTCATGTCATTTTGAAATTCAATTTTATACTCGAATGAATACGACGAAAATTAGTCTTAATACTTCAGCGATGTTGTGAGATGCCTTGTCAATGATGAGTAGACCAGACCATTTTTTACAAAGTTGCAAAAGAATTTGATTTCTTTGAGATATCAATCTTATAGTTTAAAACTCACGGTGAAGTGAGAAACGAATTGCAGATTACATTATGTCGTCCATGTTTAAGAGCTTTACAAAGCTGAAAGCTCGATTTCTTATTTCTTTCTTTTTAATCAGATCTGATTTGACAGTAAAGAAGCAATGTTGACCATAGTTTGCCAACAATAATAATTCGAAATGACAAGCATATTCGTGCAACGGTCATCAAATACAAACACTTCATGTCCTTCTTTTAATGTACGCCAAACGAACGTTGGTTAATTCTGCACAGAACTATAAATAAATATATTTTTACGACAACTTTTTTTCTGCCCAAACTGTCTTCTTTTAAATGATTATTCGGACATCAATTTTTATTTAATATTAGAAGTATCAAGGAATGTCAAACATACAACTGCTACCGTAATCCTCTACAAGCCTTATCTCTGCCAAATTTGAGAAAACTGATTCGAAATTAAAAACCCCTGTGAACAATGTAAGACTAGCAGAATGTCAATTCCGGCCGGGTAAGACAGATGACTGGTGATGACCCGGAATGATCAAGTCGATAAGAATTAGGCAGTGGAATAAAGAAGTTCTGCGACCTTGTATATCAAACATATAATTACTGGCAACCAGCTGTCTCTTCAAGAATTTGTTATTCACTGAGAAAACAAACACATTATACATGATTATAAATTATTCAAATTGATTAATTTTCGATACGCCATGAGCCAACAAAAAGTTCCTTTCTTGGTAGGTAAAATATTTGAAGATTTAATCGGAATACTCCAGTCAGAGCCGATGTTTCTGCTAAATAAGACCGCTATGGATATTTTTTTTCTTTTCCACTTTTAAATTTAAATCTATTAAATTTCTGTAAATTAGTATTATGTAAAACCAATCAAATAATTCTCATTTCTTAATTTCTTCTCAAGTAAGGCTTTGATTCATGCGTTTTCAAGACATTGCAGTCTTTTTAAATAAAGACATTTTTGTGTTTTCCCTTTTCCAAAGAAGAATGGAATAAAAACTTTTTTTTCTCACCAAGCAATACGTCAATTAGCTGGACCAAAGCATACAAACGTAAGACATTTGGGTGATTATAAAACATAATCTAAACTGCTATTAAGCGATTGTCTTCCAGTCTTCCAACCATGCACGCAACGTTTACAAATGCAGAAATAAACAGATTTGGTTTGGTATAAACACAATAACAACAAATATGTAGTCCCCTACCAGTAAAATTTCCGCGCCTTTATTCCAGTTATCTAACAAAAATCACCATTTGAATAACAAGAAAGACCTTTTATTCAAAAACTTCTATATAAAAAGATGAAGTCTCTTGCTGTGGCCTTCAATTCGACATTTAGATATAACGACGGTGTTTTTTTTTTTTCCTTACAATATTAATATTTATTCCTACGTTGATTCGACATATCCCTTTAAACTCGAAATAAAAGACACCACAGAGTCTGACACACCTCTTCATATTTGGATAGTTTACTAGAGAAAGGCATTAATGGCAAACTGATGGCATACTCCTTGGACTCAAAGGCCTCGGATCCCACCTCTGGTGTTCTTCGAGGCCCGTGTCTGCTCTGCCCAAAAACTGTATTGTTTCAATGGACTTTTGAGCTTGATTTTCATATTTTATTACCATTAAGGGTAATAGCAACATTATCCAAATGTCAATCTTATGAACATTATACATGTTCTCAAGTAATTTGTTTTTTAATTGAAGCACAGAAAACGTTTAAATTCAAAACTAAAAGTCTATTCGAATATCTGTGCATCTGGACATAACGATTTCGTCTCTTTAACCAGCGTTCTTCTGTATGCACGCTGAATTATTAAAGTATTGAATAGCATTATCACCCTTTTCAATCAAGTTTAATTTAAAGATTTAAAACACTTTTCCAAATTTGATATTTTGTAATTGTATAATTAATGCAAACTGCAAAAGCTTATTATTTTCATTAGAGCAATTATAATTTCCGAAATACGTTAAATATGGTCTTATGGAAATGTGAGCGATAACATCAGAGGAGAGAGAGAGAGCGAGAGAGAGACTTTTTGCGATTTTAGAGTTGTGAAAATACAGGGCACGGAACTTAAAGAAGTAACACCTACCCAAGACCCTCAACTTCAATTCCTACATCATCAAGGCTGATGACGAAATCCTGCTGGTCATAGTGGTCAGATAGGGAGGACTTCTCACGAACATTGGAGCGTGCATACATCCTCCGGCGGGACAGTTTGTCTAGAAGGTCATATCCACTGACCATCTTCAGATTTCTATTATCATATACGTCCACCTGGCGAGTTTGTTGACCGCAACTTGCCAGATACATCTTGATCACAGGAACGTTTAAACAAATTAAGCTGCAAATGCCAGCAACAACTTCAGCATAGCGAAAGAAAGGGATGCAATACAAGTATGGGGAACAATGTTGAAAATATCACAATGTTCCAATCTAAAGAACAATAAGTCGTCAAACATTGATAGAATTGTCAATAAACTTCGGTAATACTGCTGCTGTATTTAAAGTTTTGGGTAAATATAAACATACATATGGCAGGTAAATTCTATTGTTATACGTAATTCCTATTCTCCGTTTATTGTCCACAATCCCCACTCTGGAATTGTTTTCTTTTCTTTTTATCATGTCTTCACACAGTATTGCCAAACAAGGAACAAATTCCAATAGAAAGTGCCAAAGTCTCAAAATGTTTAGTCAAACAGCTAAAATGTCTGTAAATATAACTATGGATTAATATGAACGTCGAGGATATAAAAGCACAATGGATACGTAGAAAGTTGGTCCAAACGAGGTAATTACGGCTTCTTTGCAAACATGCAGTAACGGTGATTCTTCATAGGTAGGGTCCAATGGTTCGATCAAGTGAGCCAAGGCGCGTTGGATTACGGTCTTTTCAGTAATCCTACATCCGGTACACAGGGCTGGTAATCAGAAACTCTCTGCCTGAGTTCGTCTTTTGACTGACTACGACTCCTGACAATGCCAAACGTCCAGACACGACATTCTATATAGCCTCCCCATCGTCGACATGTATTAAAGGATATCGGCATTTATTACCCCTCCTCTGTCTTATTACTATAGAATTCCTCTCCGGTTCAATTGATATCAAATAAATTTTGAATGGGCTTATCAAAATACCCATTTTTCATTCTGATGATTTTTACGAAAGTAAAATATGTTTTCTCTTCATTCTAATATTACACGGTTACTATACACGTCTTCCTTATTTCGTATAAAATCTTTATGAAATGGGTATTTAAAAAGCAAATACTGGAACTAATGAAAGGGCTAAATAGATAGAAGTACATTAAAAACTGTTGTGACCGAACTTCATAAAAATACCAAAAGTAGAGACAAATGACTAGCGTCGAGAACATGGCTTCGGATTTTAATCATAAAAGTGGATCTAAACAACTTCTCTGCGTGCATAACTTTAAATCCTTCAAGAGTTATGATCAATACAATGTCAAAAAGAACATAAAAGAAATTACAAGTCTGCTTGTTGTTAAAAAGATGATTGGCATTTTGTATTGAAAACTGATTTACAACTTAATAATTGTGGTATTATTTCAAATGCGGGGGTCTTTCATTAAAAAAAAACAGTGGAGACAAGAAACAAAAATATCAAAAGCAACTTAAATACAGTGGATAGATGCACAAAAACCCTTCAAAACAAATGAAATCAGTTAATCTGCTTCACGAACTGGCACTTCCTCTGTTCAATGTCTGCATCATGACGCAAAATATTTATTTGTTTCGTTAACACAACCAGCTTGGTTGTTAGCTGATGACCCAAGGTGTCATTGTATCCGCACCTTTTATAATTTATATTTCATAACGTTTTTTATATAAATAAGGAAATAAGGAGGTATAAGTTTTAGATATCATGGACTGAAATCACATTAATTGCTTTGTATTGAAAAATATCAATACGTTCCAATTTCTAAATGTACTTATAACACTCCCTCCAAATAAAATAAAAGCCCAAAATTAGAACGCTTATACCCAAAAATTGAAGTTGAAAAATAACCAATGAGCAAGCTTTAATTGTTTCATCCAAGAAAAATCAATCCATCTAGAATATATGTGGACAAATAAAATTCTAAACAGTGCTTGGTCAAAATTTCTACGATGTAACCAATTCCAAATACTCCTTTGAAACCCTCACCACAACTATCGTTACCTTTTACCGACGACTTCCAGGCAGTTGTCCGCGGTGTGGGGACGCGGTGGAAGGTTTTCTACAAGTCAACACTAGAACTTGAAAAAATGTTAAATGGTTAAAATTGTTTTAAGAAACTTTTTACTTACACGTATTTTAGTCTCTTGGTCGAAAGATGCACTCCTAGAAAAAATGACGTCATTCACACTGTGACGCACACACTTTACTAGTACATAAAGGTTGCAATGAATCAAAGACAGCAAATACCTTATACACAGGAAAAGGCTTTAAGAATTAAAAGAAATTTCAAAGGCATTTTCTAGGAAAATAGAAGAAATATGTGCTATTTAGATAAATTCGGCCCATGCCATAAGAACCAAAGTTTGATCTACAAAAATACATCAGAAATCTCAGTGTTCAGTAATCCCGCTTTTGGAAGTGATTAATCTTAGGCCTATAAATCACAATTCAAATGATTCTAAAAGAGTAATCATCGAGAAACATTGTTTACCGATTTCTGAAAAATCGTTAGAGAACAAACTTAGCATTCATCATAAAATTAGAGTTGCATAACGAGGATTCCGAATAATTCAGTTCAGTTCAGAATAAACCAATGTACAGTACATTACAAGAACTAAGAACAGTGATTAAATAGTTTGGTAAAAAGGCTTGAAAAGGGATTTCTTGTTTGATTTTCTTTAGGCAAGAGGTACAACTGTGTCAAATAAATGAATGTTACAGGACGACATCTAAAGAATTCTGGTGTTGGTCCAATAAAGCAGAGAATTAAAAGTGCAAAATTCCGATAAAAACTAGCATGTCAAAGAAAAATACGAACATTAGGTGAAAAGGTTTGCACCTTTATGATAAAGAAATGTAGATAAATCATATTCCACATATATCTGAATCATGTTTTTCATACCTACAAAGAGGAACAGAAATGTAAAACGTGTCAATTTAATCAGATGTTTGAGTCGCATTCACCACTTTAAATGATAAATACCCGGATAAAAACCTTTTTCGTGTTTTAAACAGCTGTAAAATTATATACACATTAGCATTCAACTAAATGGCCCTCTTTTCAATCGCGACAATATCAAATAATTATAAGTTGCGCTGGGATTGAAAAAATAAGTCAATAAATCCATAAATGTTATAGTTGGGTAATGAATTCATAGCGAACGCAATTTCTATCAACCTTCAGAATTTTCGTTCAATTAATTTTAAATCTTAAATCCATTATAATGTCATATTTTGAGAAAAAACACAAATGTAACCCATTACTCCATTATATTTGAATGCTGAATGCAAGCTGCATTTAACAATTACAATGGAACTGAGTATCACAACTGGCTGTAATTTGAGGGTACAAAGTAACATTGCACATATATGTACAGAATTTCAAAACCAAACCAAAACCATCGATTTGAGAACTCTTTCAATATAATGAATAAAATTGCTTCAAAATTAAATTTAAAAAAAATACTTTAAATAACTCTTATGAAACACTGAAGTTATTTCAAAGTAGTTTTCATATTCAAGGAGAGTTTCTTGTTGTTTTTAAAAGATCATATGCATATCGTTTGGTCGTAATTTTTTAAAGTCTAAAGTTGGTTTGTTTTGATAAACAATCCTATACATATTTCATTTATTTCTGAAGAGCAGAAGCACCTTAAAGCTATTTTATCAGTGAAAAATGGATATTAAATATAATTAGATTACTAGAACTACATATATTTCAGAGAAAAACAATCAATTTTATTGTCATGACAATTGAATGCTAGTATAAAATATAAACGCGATAGTGTGTGTTTTACAGAGTATATTCAAAATCTAATCTCCATCAAACTACATAATAAACTTAATTTTAAGGAATTCAACAAAATTTGTGACAGCCTAAATACGCCTAAGGCAAATAATGGTAACTTTACCTCGCTTCCGGTCCCCTTGTTGGAGTGATATCCGGAAGTGACAATTCTTGAAAGGAGCACATAAACAAGTTCCGTTCCTTCATGCTTGTACTTTGCTAATTACCAAATCATTATTCCGGATACTGCTTATTAGATCCGTGTGATGCGCCCAACGCAGACGACAGACTAACATTCGTAGCATTGACCAGGCCTTGCCGCAAATCAGCGAGCTGAGAATCTTCCATTGATTGTCTTATCTTTTCATAAATGATTAGAAAAAAATCCGTTTAGACTTCGTTTTAAGCTTACATATTAAAAACTGAATCCTCTCTCGTGCAATTGAGTAATCCTAGTTAAAAAGCGGACTTGAATTGACACAGACAGATTTTAAAACCCTTTTTCTCCAATGTTTGTTAAGTCTCTCTATAGTGTCGATTCTCTGGAAATAAATTTCAATGTTTTTTGACAATCCTTAAATGAGACGGTACTATCGAAGGGTTGCTTTTACAGCAGTTTGAAAAAGTGCAATATAAATTATCCTGAGAATTCTCACTTTGCACTATCGCTACCACATCAAGCCCAGGGTAGGGTGCGCAGTTATGATTGTGTTGCCAGTTAGTATACAAGCACTATCAAGATTAAAGAGTTCCGTCATTGCTTGCTGGAGAGTCATTCCACCCCCTTGCCAGTCTCGTAATTAACAACTTATCGTCTTCTGGTCCACAAAAAGAAAAACAAATTCAAAAATTCAAAAAAGAAAAGAGAAAAGAAAAGAAAAGTGGTGTCGTCGAGTGCGCTTCTTTAAAGAATCCAATTCCCTAGAAATAATATACCTCTAATGGACCTCTAATGAACTACCTTGTGTCCAACGGCCTTGAAAAGAGCTGTCATATTATATAACTATCTTATTTTATTTCAAAAATCTTGAATTTGCGTAAGAGTAATGTAAACATTGTTAAAAACCAAAGAGAGAAATTGCCATCTGTACTAAATTTGTTTGCTTTACAGCCAACCTTGCAGTTCAAATCTTCAAAAGGGTGTTTTAGATTTAATTTCTAGTCGTAAAATAATGAAGACATGCGTTAAGTGGTACGCGATATTTTTAGAAAGCAACAAATGTCGTTTGATAAACTTTAATTTACTCCACCTTTCGATAACATCTTACTTAAGATTTTAAAAATACTTTTGGATATTGAAATGCAGTGAGGATGATGACACAACAAAAAATAGCTGTAGATTTATTCAAAGATATATTTGACAAAGAGGTCTATATAAGTTTTTCATTGCTGATTTATTTCTCCATTACTTTGTAATGCGACCACCAGTGAAAATAACGGTGGAACAGAATTTGATATAAAGTTCTAAATAATTTCCAACTGTACTTTATACTAAATCTTACAGAGATTATCACCCTCTAATATATTAGATAAATTCCCCAGGACTTTGAGTTTTTATATAAAATATATGAGTATACCTGCATGTCATTCAATAGACTGGTTGTTTTTAATAAGAAACTTTTAAAACACACTTTTGAATACGTTTCCATGCAAAAGAATACGTTTCCATGCAAACCTTTGAACTCTTAGATTGCTTCGTTCCTGTGGCTACAATATGAATAGACCTCAATCTACACTACATGAATATGAGCCCATTTCACATTCAATAGGCTTATAGCTATTGATAAGGAAATCTTTAAAGATGAACCAAAATGTAAACTCAGCCCATCCTCGGGACAATAATTAAAAATACACATATTCACTACGATTCAGTAAAATGTCATTTGTGTCCATTTAGTTCTAACGAAGAAAGTTTTCAATGGACCCTTCCTATGTTCAATTATATTTCATGAAAAGATGCTTTGTGCTAAGTTTGGTTTAAAGTGGCCAACCGGTTCTGGAGAATGCGTAAAAAATGTGAAAAATTTAAAGACAGAAGACAGACCGATTGATGAAGAACTTGCATCACTTAGGTCCACTTAAGTCTTTGTCTCTGCTAAGCTAAAACCGAAGTTCTCTTGATAAAAAGAAAAAAAATCCCCTAAAATAATCTAGAATCTGAATATTTTCAAATAATATTTTCCAAAGAACTAATTTTAAAGGTCGCATGTAACTGTTTAAAACATTTGTAATATGGTTTTCAAATTCCTGATTACATTAATTCGTGAATAATCAAATTTCATGCAAAATTTTCACAATAGAACATTTTCATTCTGTTACTTAAAATAGATTTCAATACAAATAGATTTCAATATACAAACAGATTCAATACAAACTCTTGATCATTCGGCCAATCAAAAAAAGTCTTCCGTACAAATGCATTTAAATTGTCATATCTCTACAGTAATCCAAAATAGTAGAAAATTGCTTCAGGTGAAGGACAGCTAGACCAAATACTTATATAAGCTCATCCTAATCCTGGCTCAAAAAATATGGACCATAAATCTATCGGAAAAAAATTCATAGATATGTTGTATGTAACTCTATATCAAATGAAAGAACTTAAATGTTAGACAAATACTATATGTTGTTTAGGCAAGCTCTTTTTTCTTCTCTGCAAACAATGTGCATATCGATATTCAATGTAATCGCCGATTGATCCATAACTTCTCTTAAGTTTATGACCATGTCGACTTGTGTGCATTTACGTATACAGTTTTCATGTAGAATATGTTATGTCGTGAAAGCACATGGAATCTGAAAGTAGTTTAGTTAATTAATCACAAACGATGAAGAACTTTCATTCATGAACAGAACGCTTAACAGAGAATCACTTCTTCATTAAAAAAAGAAAACAAAAATTAAAGAATATCACCAGGTTGTATGAGAAGAATTAGAACAGAAAAAAGAAGAAAGAAAAGATGAACCATAAGATTTCCAGGAATAGCAATTAATCTCTGTCAGTCAAAGTGGAGATATATAGACGTTTGGGCTACACTGTACTTAAATGTGTCCCATTCACAGCATCGCTGTCTTAGAATCAGGTTGAAAAAATTCTGGTTCTATAATTTTATTTTACTATGAAATTTGAAAGTGGGTAAATTTTTTTGCAAAATTAATACAAGACACTTTTTTCTTTCATAAAGAAAGTTTTCTGTAAAGTAGTGTCCTCTCTAAAATTTATAATTCTTCAATTCAAATTTGTGTATGACAACTGATACAAATTTAAATTGAACAAATTCTGAATTTGAGAGAGGACATCGATTATGTTTGAATTGAATTATGCTACAATCTGAATACGGATTTCTGGTTTATCGAATATCAATAAACATGCATCAAGCCTTTCATGTTCGTGTTATTCCATAAGGATGTGAGATTTTCCCACCTTTGAACAGATTATACAGGATCCTTCGAAAAAAAATCAGAATAAAGTCCATTAAAACATGTACACAGAAGCAGGAAAAATAACTCCAAGAATAATTTAAACCCTCAACCTGAAGTATTATTTGTTTGAAGTTGATAAATAAATGTAATGAAGCACATAGATAATTTTAGGCACGCCCTACCTGTTGCTTTTATCAGGATGTCCATTTTTCAAGATAATTCCACTGCTTCAAGGGGCTGAGGAAGAAGTTTCAGAGAAAAAAAGCTTTATTGCTTTTAACAGAACAGTTGACAAAATGCAAACAAATTAAAAAGAAGAGAGAGCATTCCGTACAACCCGTCCTATCGAAAATTTAACTTTAAGGTGAATAGAAAAAGAAAACTTTTTTTACCTTGACATATGACAATGCACTCAAAGCAAACATTGTTTATAGAAAATTACTCTTCCGAAGTGTCCAAGTCATAAAAAAAGACTTATCTAGCAATTATGTCTTCTTATTGACTTTTTAAATGCTTAGTCCAATAACGCTCGATCAAATTTCCAGAATAGATTGTTAAACTTTAAAAAATCACAATGAATATTTAATAGACATGATGTTCACTATGCTAGTATGCATATAAAATGTCTTGATAAATAACAAAACATTGGTGATATTTTTAAGGTTTAATAGCAAAGCCATATTCGTAAATGTATCACTGCAAACAATACACATTTATTGACTGGGCTCGAGGGCAACATGCGTTTTGTCGGACCCAGAACCAAACTGTTTGCCTGAGGCCGTTAGGCCTCAGGGAAACAGTTTGGTTCTTGGGGTGGACAAAACACATTTTGCTCGAGAACACGGTCAATAAATGTTTTGTTATACTTTTATATTTTTTATTCATTTTTTGCTGGCTTCCACGATGATTTTTTTTTACTCGCACTGCGGTAAAACTTGCTCAATTCTATTTACACTGGAGACATCATTATCATCTGTGGTAAACTTCCACTTGTCGTAGAAAGTACCATCCTCTGCTACTCCGGAGACTGCTGTCACTGCTGAACACCTAAGCTTTACCTAATACCGCGAATACTGTGACGTAAGCGGTCCAAAATCTCATCGACAGGTCCAATATCTCATTCTGCGGTCAAACATCGATTTTTTTTTATGACCGCTCAGTAAAACATTGGAAATGTTAGACGTTTTTTAGTATAGATTTATATAAGAACCGATTTTTAAAGGTATAACAATGCATTTTGATGACAAGGACAGAACTATTTTACACTGATAATAAATGATGCACCTTAATGAACTTGACAGTGTGAACTAGACAGAAGTAACCATTTTTGACCGCCATCCTGCATGACTGTCAGCCCACAACCTGAAATAAAAATACTGAAATCAAACCTGAAATGAAATCGGAACAGTGAATACTTGGGATTATTTTTCATTGCAAATAGACTTATCTGGAAGATCACGACACACGCCCACCAAAACTTGTACACAACTGCTTGCTTTTCAAATTTGATATTATAAATCTCAGCTATACTTTAATGTATATGTTTATAACAATTTTTATAGTGAGATTCAGAATAGTCTGTATCTCTATATATCGTATTGTTAACATTTTTGAAGCAAGGTTACAATAAGTATAGTGAAAGGAATTTTTTTTAAAAAGCTGAAAGAAAAAAATTAAACAACTTGTAATATTTATTTGTATGTTTAAATTCGGTATGCAAAGCATTATCCTATATATAGGCATAATAACAGCACAACAACCGATAAAGCTTAAATAATATAAGTTTATGATATCAACGAACTTTTTGATTTCAGGGTATTTAGTCTTTCTTAAAAGACCTGTTGGCTTCACATTACGCAAAGTGCAACAGAGACACGTGCATATCATTGAGGACATACTGGCCTACTATTTCTCGCTGATTCGATAAATTTGGAAATATTTAAGTGCAAATATAGAGATAAAATCCTTCAATGATTCGAAAACGAACGCCAAACACATTTCAATTGGCTTCGCCTTGATTCTCAAGATTCAAAATCTGTCAAAGTTTAATGATTAATTAACCTTACCAATAGTAAGTAGGATTTAACCTATTAAACTTAAACAGAACAGAGTTAAGACAACCAGAAAAAGCAATTAAATCAATGGACAGATCATGGGAACATTCACGTCAATGAAGACAAAGCAATCATATACCTAGAATATTTTAATGTATATAAAGAAAAGATGATTTGTAGAATAAAGTCGTAGTGTGCATGTTTTATGAAACAGTGATATATACACATTACTGAAAACAATGTACATTAAGTGTAAATGTATGATGATGTACATAGCCACTCAATGAGAGTGCAAGAATTGAAGATAAATTGTTTATAGACAGCATTTGCGTGAGTCAGCTGACTCAAATTCAGATATTATTTAATGAATATAAGTCCAGGAATTTGTCCGTGATCCACATCCGTTCCATTTGTCTCCCCTGACGATTTGTAAAAGTCGAACTGAACACCGTCACTAGTCACGGATTCTTCGCCTCCCTCTCCCCAGTAGCTTCGTGGACCCTGCATGGTCACTGCTATCGTGTACTTTATATTTGGCGCAATGTGCACGGGCTCTGGGAAGAATATGTTGAAGGTTTTATATGGCACAGTCACAGGAATCGTAGTGCTCACATGGGAAAGTTCATTTGAAAGAAACGGTAAACCAGTTCTAAGTATGGAAGCATTCACGTTGTACTCTGTTCCCTCTATCCCACATCCGTACACCACGACTCCATGAATATATATTGTCTTGGAAGATGAAAAGTCAATTTTATCTGCTTTCTGTCCGACATACCATAGATTTTCGTTCCTTAGGGAAACATGACCTTCACGCGCAAATCGCATCGCAACTCTTTGTCTGTTACTTTGTGAAATATGGGTATTTTGCTTTGTAGAACTAGATCTGACATATCTTCCTCTCCGTTTAGATGACTTGAAATTCGAATCAGTCTGAGATTTATGACCGCTGCAGATGAAAGTGAAAATAGCAAGTCTTTCTGACTTCGACAATATTTCGCGACCAGCTACTTTTTCTGCAAAATATTTTGAATCCATAACAGGGAATCTGATGTGATTTAAAATTTTACCAAGGACCTGTCGTCTACTGGAATCATTTAAATCTTTGTCTTTTCGAACACACTCAGCATCTGCCCACTCAAGAACTCGCTCGAAAATCAAGTACTCTTCTACGGTAAGTTCGTCAGAGGAAATGACATTATCTACACATTCTGCGCACAGATCTAAAAAGGATTCTGAATGGATGCATTTCACGGGCTCTCTGTAGAAAAATTCGCGACACTTTCGGAGAAGTTCTGCGTCGTTGAAAGTATGAGCACTTTCCATGATGTTGCAGACGTTCGATACCGACATGGTCTCTTCCAGAATCTTTTTGCATTTTTTCACAATTTTCATCAGACCATATTTGTTTGCTGCGTAGAGCAAATCTGGAGCATTGTTCGTTTGCACGGTAAAATCTTCATAATACAGAAAACTGAAAAAAGAAAGAGAGAGATAGTTAAAAAAAAAAGAATTATCAAATTGATGAAATGTAGTTACAGGGCAGATTGTAACTTAATTTCATAGTAATAAAACAAATTTCTTTTTTTATATGAAAATTTAAAATATATATATATATATATATATATATATATATATATATATATATATATATATATATATATATATATATATATATATATATATATATATATATATATATATATATATACAATGAAAATAGATGGAAAATTAATTTTAATTTGATTTTTTTTCTGTTTCCAAACTACCGCAGAAGAGAGGCAAAAATTTTTGGCTCTAGATCAGGAATCTCAATTTCATTATTTGTTTCAGCTACAGGACCGTAAAACATGGCAAAAAACACAGAGCTTCGACTCGCAAGAACATATTTGTGGGCGGACATGCGTTGCCGCTCTCTTCCAACCAAGAAAGTGATGTCACAATTAATTTCATTGGTCAGCATGTATTTATTGCAGTCAGTAACAGATCGAAAGGACTGCCAGTCTTCGTTTCTCTTAGAACTGTCAACCTCCATCAAAACTAAACAATACAAAAGGTCAATTTTCATAACATACCGGTAATAATAAAAAATGTTACACTTTGATATAATTATACAAAATATTTCATTTTTCAAATGTAAGATAGATTGTCCACTGAAAAACTTTACCTAGTTTTCCTGATTCCCCAGACCAGATTATTAAGTAAGACTATACTAACATTAGAAAAATAACATAAGATTTTGTCAAATGTAGCGATCCATGACTTTCCTCTCTGTATGAAATACTACTATCACTGTCGCCACCGAGTTTAAATACCGGGTGTATACTTGATATTTACAAGACCATTTGTTAATTACCTTCTAAAATTTCCTACAATTTAAGGAGAAAAGACTCCAATGACGGTGCATTTGATTAAATCGTAGGTTCAAGCCTCAGAGTAGTATCTGTCCTTTCTTTCTCGAAATATTTATGCAACAAACGTATTTCACAAACTAATATTCGTTTATCATTCAAAGGAGAGACAACTCGAGATTCCGGACTGACAAGGTACCGCATGAAGCAAGTTTGGGGTGGACATTAATTTTCCAGAAAACTTGTACAGCCTGTATTTTTGTGACTTTCTGTGATAATGAATTTCGAGACGAATATGAGCATAGGAAAGAGAAAAGTTGCAGATAAGAAGAATAAACCAACATAAAGTGTCACTACTTGTATTTTTGGCTAACTGCAGTGGATCGGAAGTACTTGAAGACTCAATCGCTAGCGAGTTCCTTATCGTCAAGACACTTTTTTTTTAATGAGGAAATGCGAACGATACTTCTCTACACCTCAGTTACTGATGTAAAATATTTGCATCTTTTTTAAGCAAACGCACCCTTTGTAATTAATTAGAATAATTTTGTACATGTCTTTATTATTCTCTTACCGGTGAAACCGGAGAAGACTAGAGGTTTCTTCTTCTGTCCGTCTGTCTATCCCTCTGTCTGTCTGTCCCACTTAGTTTTCTGTACTATTTTCCTAAACTCTTGCAAATATTGGGCTGATTTTGGCATGTGAGTGAATCTTAATGAGTTTCAGATCAAGTTTGAATTCCATTCCGCTTTGATGGTTTTTGACGGAGACACTGCCTTTTGAAATTTTCAAGGGGAACCAGATTTCCTCTTGGTCTTCCCCATTTTTTTCCTAAACGCTTTCAAATATTGAGCTGATTTTTAGTGTATGAGTCTGCCTTAATGGGGCATAGATCATTGCATTTTGTTCCATTTCAATGATTTTTGATTGATTTATGGCCTTTTTAATTTTTATGGGGAACCAGATTACACTTGCCGGTAGGGGGACTAGTATTGCTTTTGCAATACTCTCAGAATGCTTATTCATTTTATAATCACAAATAAATTTCGTTTTACTCCATTTGCTACAATCTTTCCCTTACAGAAACATTTTAGCTGTTGCCCTTTACAGGTGAGCATTAAACATCTGACCAACAATTACGTGCATATACATGTATATATATGTAATCCGTCTCGATACGTATCACTCTTATCGCCAGTGGTATACAAAATGAAGTCCTTTTTGTGTGGACTATTTTTCCTTCCTTTGGTGTACTGTGAGTTTTGAATATGTTCTTTTTTTATATTTTGTAAACTGATTAAACCCTGCCTTGACTTGAATTATCCTTTACATATTTAAGCTGCACTGGATAACAGGGGAACAAAATTCATTGTTGCGTTTTTGGACAACTTCCACAGTCCAAAAATTGACATCAATCCAGAACTATTCATTACCACTGCCAGTCATAAACCAGTGCACGTTCACGTCAATTCCCCAGGCTCCACAAACCCTAGAGTCCACCAGTCTTTCGTTGTGACACGCGGCATCGTCCATAAAGAGGAGGTGGATCCTCATTTTCGTTTGAACCACACCGAACTGGTCAACAAAGCCATCAAAATAACAGCTGATGATGAGATAGTTGTCTACGGCGTCAACAGAGAGACAGCGTCAGATGACGCCTATTTAGCCTTGCCAACAGACGTACTAGGCACTGAGTACTACACCATATCCTATGCGCCAGCCTACTACTACTGTGTTTTTGCTGTTATTGCTGGAAATGACAACACACAAGTGTCCATTCAGCTTCCGAACCGAGACGGAGTAGAAGTGACGTACAACAATCATGTCTATCACAAAAATGATTGGATAAACGTTACTATGAACAAATACCAGACCTTCCAAGTAAGCTCCGTTGGTGATCTAACCGGAAGTCATGTGATTTCAAGTCTTCCTGTCGGAGTCATCAGTGGAAACAAGAAAACAATAGTTGGTAATACGGGTGGCTCACGTGATCATCTGACAGAAATGTTGATGCCGGTACATTCATGGGGCAAACATTTCGCAACAATACCCATCCCAGCGAGGTCGGTAGGTGATGAGTTCCGATTTGTGGCAAGCAAAGACAACACACAGGTAGCTGTGAGAGGTAAAATCAACGGAACACTCTTCTTTGACAACTTCACCATTCCCCACGCCGGAGACTATGTTCAAAAAGTTTACAGTTCTTTCCTGTACTCCCATGTGGTGGCCAGTGAACCTATTGCGTTATTTCAATTTTCCAGAACCCAGGCGTACCATCATGAAAATATCGACCCGTCCATGATCACAATACCTCCCATTGAGCAGTACGGTACAGACTACACATTCACAACCCCTGAGTACTCACACGGCCAATACCTAAATCAGTTTATGTTTATAATCGATAGTCATCAAAAGGGCGGTCTTCTTCTAGATGGAAAACCACTGCCACACCATCAGAAGTATGTGCACATACCTGGCGCGCACCTTGTAGGAGGGTACGTTAATATAACAGTTGGAACCCACACCGTCACGCATACAAGCCCCAACGTCACAATCGGAGGTATCCTATTCGGCAGAGCTCGTGTGGAATCGTACGGATTTCCCATTGGATTCCTTGTCAAACCGATCAATCCTGTAAATGTAAGTTTTCTCTTATCACTTGTCACTTTGCTGTTAGCATAAAGTGTTCTGTACTTGCTTACAAACAGGTCCGTAGCAACGGTTTCAAAAGTGGGGGGGGGGGGGGAGGGGGGACTAACCCCAAAAATCTGACATGCAAAAACGAAAAACCGAATTGACTATCAATTGTGATTACCTTCTTTCATTTCTATTTCAATATTCAAAGTTGCTGTTATCCTTAACTATACAGTTGTGCTTGTGCTATATGTATACGAATTAAAAATATCGGATGTGTTCCTTCTGAAATTCTTTATACATGTACCGGTATGTCTGTTACTATAAAAAAAATATAAATTCATTCTTAATAGATATACGTTAAATTATATTGACATCTTCTGGTAACAACGAACAAGCGTCAAACTTTATTGAAAAGTAGAAGCTATAACTTCACCAAAGTGATAAAAAAAATTGACTGACATGCCAGTATTTGAGTAAATCGAGTCCATTGCTTCATTATTAAACAAATCCGTAAAGCTTAAGAATTCTCTCAGGTTACCAAGATTCCCTATATCATATTTGAAAAATAAAACATGTAAACGGAGGATAGTCATAATACATGTAATTGAAATATTTAAATTACCAAATACATGTAGTTTTTTAATTTGTGCACATTTGAATTTCATTCTAACTTTATCAGCCACCTCACGGCACGACTTCACCCACTGCTCCGGCCACAAGTGAAACCCCAGTATGTGACGCACCACCAATGAGGAAAGGCGATGAAATAGACAATGATTGCGATGGGAGATTGGACGAGGAGAATTGCGATGGACAAGGTAACGACTGACGACATATGTGTTAATACTTAACTGTGTTACAGGATGAGTTCAAAAGGGTTTGCAAAACCAATATAAGCATTTCTCAGAATGCTCCTTTTTATGAATAGAACGGCTTTACAACATTTCTCAGTGTCATTAGGTTTTCATGGTTTTTTTTTTCAGCATCAACTTTTTCTATACTAAACACATCTCGACCTATTATGTTCTTAATAATTTTGTTATGTTGTCGTCAAAGCGATTCTGAAGACTTTTTGTTTAGAGAGGCCTACATTTTATTTTCTTGTGATTTTTGATTTTACAGATGACGATGGAGATGGAAGGATCGATGAAGACTGTAGCGGTACAGAAATCTGTAAGTATATAAGGTATTCCCAAACTAATTATTTAATACGCTAACTCTACACAAATTTTTGATATTTATTGCTGATTAAAAATATCTTTACCTCTTTTTCAGCAATTATTGGTAGGAAGTGATACAACTTGTAATATGAAGTGTATTCTTTATCTAACTTTTATACTCAAATAAATATTTCAAAGAAAAAATAGTTGAGATATTTCTATGAATTGTTCTTTTAAAAAATTCCGAAGTTTAGGAGGGTCAAGGAGACTCAGCTGAGCATTGATGCCCAGGGGCCTTTGTTAAAAAAAAAGTATAGACTCGCTGGTTACCCGAGTAACAACAGGATTAAATAGGTAAGATACTGTAGATTCATCATACCTACATGTACCTTTCAATCTTAGAATAACTATATAAACTGTATAATGGCTTTCAATGGCCAAGATCAGGTGCCCATTTCCAACTAAATCATGTTATATAAATGTAACTATTTACAGTTACATCTAATCTAAATGTCTTCTGCACTGCAAAGAGCAGAATGAGAGCTTTCCATTAGTATATAATATCTTATATATAAGTATCTGTATCTTTGAAAAAAAAAAACAGAATAAAGTCTCAGATTCACAAATTTTGAAGCGTTATGCTGTTGCACTTGATTTTTTACATTTTAAAACATTAAAATAAAATCGGAAACAATGAAGCAATATAGTCCGCACCCCCCCCCCCACCACCACCACCACCCCAAAAAATCGTGCCTTGATTTAATTACAGCTCCTGTTTGGACACCAATAATGCTTTAATTTTATTTTTTAACAGTAGAAAAGTTCTATTAAAAAACTCCTTATCACAGAAAACCCCATGCCTTTCCCTATTGTTGTCGCAAACGAATTCACTTTTAAAGTAAGCATGGTCACTTCACTGAGCTGAAAACTTTAAAAATGATCTCTGCCAAGAAGATGAAAATGAGGGCGTATGTGAAAACTCTGCGTCATTACATAAATAGCTGAATAACACATATTAAAGATATGATTTTGATATGTGGAAAGACTATTCTTTCACGCAGTATAGTTTTCAGATGGATTCGGAAATTTAAAAGAAAAACAGTACAATTAAAAGATCGTAGTCAAAGTGGTCGATCGAAATCTCTGGGGGCACCAAAAATATGGATGCTGTGAGCAACATGATATCTAAAAATGCCAAATTTCCATTGATAGACTTTGCTAAAACACAAAACATTTCATCGTCATAACAGTTTATAGAGTTCTGACAAATGAAATAAATCTTACAATAATTTTATCAGATGGGTGCCTTACTCCTTACAAAGGTCTAAGAGAAAACACACGTTAAATGTGCCAATGGTCTATTTAAAAATAAACAATTTTACAAAAAAGAAGATTTGATAAACTTTAGTGATGGATGACGAAACATTGGTGTACCTTTTTAGCCGAAAAGGAAGATCAAGAATGAAAGCTGTCGTCCTATTATTGCAAAGAGAAGCAAGAGCTCCAAATATGTTTTATTATTTTCTTTTTTTTCTTTACAAATTTTGTGCAGAAGATTTCTCGGAGATGGCTCGTTCAATTTGTTTCAAATTTTCAGGGTTGATGGGTCTTTATCTGAAGTTAATTCCATTTTTGATAAGACACTTCCGGTCGAAAGTTATTGCCCTTTAATCGAATTTTTATTGACCATTTTGTCTACACAAAAACTCAAAAACGACAAAAGCTAGAGTGATGAAATTTTCAGTGATAATGGAGGATATGTTCTAGTTGTGCACCTCAGTTTTCAAATTTTCTTGAAGTGCCTAGTATGCAAGGTCGGTAGGGGTCGAAATTTAGGACATGAATCAGGAGTGAATTTTCGAGACATTTTTTATCGTATCTTCAAAACTATGAATATTTTTTAAAAACATATTGAACAGAAATTGTGTAGAATTACTGGATCTTTTATATGACATCAAGAAAAAAAGGGCTGACTCATCACATTAGGGGCCAAGAGGGGCCAAAAGACTTAAAACCATAACTCTTTAACGATCAATATTTTGTTATACATTACTAAAGCAAAAATGTTTATCTGAACAATCTACAACTATATATTATGATATTTATCTCATATGTTACATAATTAGGGGCCATAAAGGGCCATAATGCTAAATCTTTGACGCTTTATATCTCGAAAGTGGGAAATATTTTAATAAGCAATATTGAATAAAAGATGTTCAAAATAATGTGCTAAACAATATGCAACCTTTCAATATTTGCTAAACGTCTCATTAAGGAGTTGACGGACCGGCCCCTAAATATTTCTTTTACATATATCTCGGAAACGAAAAAAAAAATTTCTGAGTAGTTGTTGAACAAAATGTGTTCAAAATCATAAGAGCTTTAAGGTGATATCAAGAAAAAGGGGCTGGCCCCTCAAAATCGGAGCCGATAGGGGCCGAATGTCTTTCATCAATAACTCTTCAACGATCAATATTTTGTAAAATATTACTGAAGCAAAAATGTTTGTCTGAGCAAACTACAACTACATATTATCTTATTCACATCATATGTTGCATAATTAGGGGTCATAAGGGGCCGAAATGCTAAATCTTTGACGCTTTATATCTCGAAAGTGGGAAATATTTTGAAGATGTTCACAGTAATGTTCTGAACAATATGTTACCTTTCAATTTTTGCTAAACGTGTCCATTAAGGAATTGAAGGACAGGTCCCTAAATATTTCTTTTGCATATATCTCGGAAATGAAAAAGAATTTCTGAATAGTTGATGAACAAAATGTGTTCAAAATCATAAGAGCTTTAAGGTGATATCAAGAAAAAAGGACTGGCCCCTCAAAATTGGGGCCGATAGGGGCCGAAAGTCTTTCATCAATAACTCTTAAACGATCAATATTTTGTAATACATTACTAAGGCAAAATAGATCATCTTCGTACTCCTTAACTATATAACATGTTGTTGACATCATATGTTACGTTATAAGGGGACATTAGGGGGCCAGAATGCTAAATCTTTGACGCTTTATATCTCGAAAGTGGGAAATATTTTGATAAGCATTATTGAATAAAAGATGTTCACAATAATGTTCTGAACAATATGTTACCTTTCAATTTTTGCTAAACGTCCCCATTAATCTATAATCTTTAATGATCAGTATTTTGTTACAGATTACTGAAGCAATATTGTTCCTCTTAACAATTTATTTACATCATTATATTTGAACGAAAGTCTCAGTCAAATTCTGATCTCATCTTATCAAAAATCGGACGGAAGACCCACTCGTTGCTCGCAACGAGATCGCATCTAGTTAATTTTCTTTTTATTAACATGCACATACAGCCAAAGGAAGGACTATCAATAGTAACTTTTATGTTAACATTTCACCCAGGAAAGTTAAGCAGATTTCCTGCAAAGCAACCCAAATACGTCCCCGGGGTATTTTTTCTGCACCCTAAAACGCTGCTGCAAATAAGCATAGTGAAATAAATAAAATTTTGAAGAAAGGAAAGTTTACAGAGCTTGGGCATCCTCCATATTAGCTAGATCACAACCACTGTGAGATCTTTTTCTTCCCAGAACATATTAAAGCAATCAAAGAAAGATTTTACAATTTCAGGTATATCATGGAAAGATGCTATTCGTCAGTGTCTTTAGGGCATCCCTAAAGATGAGTATGCTGAGGTTTTCTGGTCATGGGTACAAAGAATTTAGACGTGTAAATGTTAACAGAGAATGCTTAGAGGGATTGAAAGTATTAGGAATCTGCTTTACACGCTTTTCCTATTTTTGATGATCTTTTGCATTATTTATTGACCGACCCTCGTAATTGAGCTGGAATTTCATTTGGCATTGAAAGTACACGGTATATTTGACAATTGATTTTTAAGTATGGTATTATAAATACTCAAACTAAGTGGTGTGAACTGTTATAGGAAACCAAATAATAAAAAAATGCCAAAAATTTAATTATACAATTATATTTTCTTTCAGTTGATTGTCCACAATAGTCCGTATCCCCAGTGCTCACATGAAATTCATCCTTCTAAGATGCTAAATCAAAGCTCATTGTTTGTCTTTAGATATATACCCGGTATAGTCTTAAACTATGTTTGGTTTTCAAAACAGTGAAAACACCAATTACATGTAATATTGACATGTATTACTTTGTTCTTACAATTTATATTATGTGAATTTATATAAAGTTTTTGTTTTTGTTAAATTTCACAGGATTTTTGTATAAATTGATTTAATATGCATTACACACACGTGAACTCCAAGATGATAATTCTAACAGATTTTACTGATACAAGCATGCTATTTTTCTATGGTCTCTCATTAAATGAAAAATACTATATGCATAGTCCGTAGCCCAAGGTCTCATAACAATCAATCAAAAAATATCTGACAGTTTTTGTCTGAGTATTACCAAATAAGTTAGAAATTTTCATCCTCATATACAGTATCTTTAGAGAAATTGAAAGTAATTTAATGTATTTTTACTTCAAATGTCCAAATATTAAGAGTAGAAAAACTCTCAAAGATTAACAAATTTACCCATGTCCTTTATATACTGTAACATTTTAATGGAAATGAAATATGTAATTTTTTTGCTCAGAAAATATTTTGTGAAGAGCTTGTATTTGAATTATACTTTTTTATATTCAGTTGAATATGATAAAGATAAATGTTATGCCTGAATATGTATAGTCCGTAGCCCACTTGGGTCTCTGCTATAGTAAGAGTGAAATCTTTTTAACCGCTTGAAACAAATGGACAGAAATTTCAGACAATCTGCCAAAAGATGTAGTGTTCCTAGAACATACAAGTAATACATTTAATTTGACTTGAACCGTTCACAGTAGCTCAGTCGGTAGAACGCTTGCTCCGTGAACGGGAGGTCGTGTGTTTGAATCTCGGCCGCGACTGACCTAAGTCGATGAAAAATGGGTAGCAACTGTTCCTTCGCCATGCGTTCGGCACTTAGTGAAAGTTGAAGGTCCTTCGGATGAGACCTAAAAAACCGAGACCCCATGTCACGGCAGGCGTAGGTACGATAAAGAACCCTCACTGCTCAATGGCCCTGAGTGTCGAGCAAAGGTCAAAATTTGAAGCCCTTCACCGGTCTATGGTGACGTCTTTATATGAGTGAAAAATTCTCGAATGGGACGTAAAACAACATACAATCAATCAATCAATCAATCATTTAACTCTATTTTTTGTTAATCTGCAACCAACATGGGCACCTGATCTTGGCCAAGCCGCATGTACTTTCTAAGTACGGTAGCTAGGTGTGTTGCTACAGCTTATCAATAAACTTTCTCATTCTGCTAAAATCAAAAGTACACTCGACATCTATGTACTATTGGTTCCAACGTATGTCCTTCAAAATTAGATAGAGGTTATCTCTTACAATATTTCTAGAGATAACTCTTTTTTGCGAATTTTGACAAACCATTTTGGACAAACCATTCTACAAGTATGGCAAACCGGATGTGGGTTTTTCTTCTCTTGGCTCTCCCCTTTGTGAAAGGTGAGTTGTATTAAACAAATCAAAAGGAAGTAACTAATTCTATAAAACCTTCAGTAGCTAGATAGGTTACTTAAAGACTTTTATCTCACTGATCTAGAAGTAAGGCTGTTAAGGTGAAATCAAATTCTTTTATCTTTGAACTATGCATAAAAGGAGTATACAATTTTTTCCTGTGTTTAAATTCAGTTATCTTTGTGTGGCAAAACATCGATAAATTTCTCATTCATAAATAAATATTTTAATATGTTTATATCACAAATCTGGCGCAAGTATTGATATTGGAGTCATTGAATCATTTTGTATAAAATACATGTTATGAGTGTTAAGTTGATATTCCAGTCTTCAGAACAACGATCATAGATGGTATGCCTTTTATGGAACGCATACGGTGTTTGGCAACTTTGATTAAAAGCATGTTTAAATTAAACACATTGAAACTTTCAGATTTTTTTTTTATATTGAATAATCAACATCAAGCGAAATTCTCAATCTCAATCATTGATTAGCAATATTTATACATGTATTTCTATTTTTTTGAAGTGCCAACAGCATAGACAAATGAAAATATGCAAAGATTTAAAATGATGAAGCATATTTGAAACAATAACCACGAGACAAACATCTACTCATTGCTGACCTAAAACAAGCCAGTCTTTTATATGTATTTCCTTTTAATTTGATTATTCATCCATTTTGTATAAAGAAATAACTTGTATACTCAGTCCTGAATCTCATTGATAACCACCAAATCTAATTCGTCATAAAAGTAACGTTACGCATGTTTCCCTTCCTTCCCTAATTACATTGTATATAAATCTCAGTACCAAAATATATATATTTGAGTACTGAATTCTGATATTAATTGATCTTAATTAATCGAATCTACCACTCCACTTATATTTATACTTTCCTTATTTTTACCTCTTTTTGCACGTGCACATCCATCAAATAATTATCATATTTTTATTGTAATTTATGTTAATTTACGATAGTATTAATATTTTAATATACGAGGGCTGTTCGTAAATTATTGAGACATTCTAAATATTTTCCTATCTGATCAACGATTTTTTGGGTGAAAATTGGTTTATACATGTAACAAACACCAAAAAATATATAAAAGCTAGGAACATTTCAGAAATATTATAATTTTTCTTTTAAATGACGTGTCGGTGGTAGGGTTACATGCGCAATCTCGAAATTAGATGTTAGAATTCTGTAGCCTCTTCGTATACTAAGTTCTGGTTGACCTAGAGAATGTATGGAAATTTATAAAATTAAAGATACCATATTTTGATCTTTATCTTGACCTTGTTCTGTTTGATAGATTATTTTAATTAGAAGTACAAATATCTTCAAGTTTTTTCATGAAGGTATAGAAATCTTATTATGGTGGCAAAATGAATTTGAACGTCAAGGCGGAGCAGTAGACATACATAAATTTTTGTGCAGACCTAAGTAGGTAGAACTGTTCAGACAAAAGACCTTAAACAAACAGAGGAAACTGCTACGGCTTTAGTTTATCGTTGATTTAAACATGTTTCTGACAAAACATTCAACCACAGTGAAAGCAAAAGAGCTGGACGACCATCAGTCATTGCGGACAAATTAATTTACCAGTCTTGGTACCGAATAAGGCACGTCCGACTGTAAGAGTTATTTGACATTTGGGTAGAAACAACACAAAAGTTTGTAAAAAAAAAAAAAAAAAAAATTAAGGTTAAAGAAAGGAGAAAATTTGCGCCATTTTGGTTCCTAGAATGTTATCAAGTGATGACAGAATTTAAAGAACAATTGAGCTTCCTGATCATTTCAATGTGAGAAAAAAGAACCAAACACTGAAGTAACGTTAAAATGACTTTGCGATTCTGCAAAGTGCTCCGATTCAATGGACATATGAAAGTTTAGAATTTCACCGTGACTTATCTTATGATGTTATCAACAAGAGATTTTGCATATTTGCATTAAAAGTTCTTGATAAAATTCAGGTGAAGTTTCATGACTTGATCTCTCTTCTCTGGAGTTAAAGTCTCAATAATTTCCGAACAGCCCTCGTATTCTTACTTAAAATTGCCACAAAACAAAGAAAATGGTTGCATTTACCAAAAGACGAATTGTTACAATTTTCAATATTTTATCGTTTTATTATAACTAATGACACAAATGATTCTTATGATAAAAATGACAGAAATAAAAAAATTGAAAAGAAAAATTATAAAATTCTATTTCAAAATGTGTCACTCGTGTATTCGTGTATCATAAAATATATATGTAACCATTTACAGAATATTGTTTTCAGGAGCATTGGATAGTAAGGGTAAGCAATTCATTGTTACTTTCATGGACAACAAGATTCTGCAGAACACCGACATCAATCCAGAAATCTTCATAACCACCTCAAGCACCAAACCAGTACACGTCAACGTGACGTCACCGGGATCAAGCAATCCACGAATAAACGAACATTTTGTCGTCTCCCGTGGAATTGTGCACCGGGTTGTCGTAGATCAAGATTTCCGACTGAACCACACCGAACTTAGCACTAAAGGGATTTTGATTTCGGCAGATGAAGAAGTTGTGGCATACGGGGTAAACCGAGAGGTCTGGTCGGACGATGCCTACTTAGCACTGCCTACAGATGTTCTGGGGAAAGAGTACTATACCATTTCCTACTCCCCATCCTATTATTATTGTGAGTTTGCTGTGATTGGTGTTCATGACCACACTAAAGTTCATATCAAACTGGCTAACCATCCAAATGTCAGTGTTATTTTCCGTAACCATACCTATCAAGGCAATGACTGGATTAACGTAACACTAAATCGCTATAGCACCCTTCAAATCACATCTGTTGGAGACCTTACAGGAACGCACATCATATCGAACAAAGCAATAGGTGTTATTAGCGGAAACAAGAAAGCTGTTGTGGGTACTGCTGGTCCTTCACGTGACCATTTGACAGAAATGTTGCTTCCAGTACAAGCTTGGGGTAAGAACTTTGCCACAGTGCCAATCCCGGAGAGAGCAGTGGGTGATATTTTCAGATTTGTCGCCAGCCAAGACCACACGCATATAACGGTGACAGGAGTCATAAATGGTAAAAATTTTACAGACCATTTTAACATAGCTCATGCTGGGGGATATAGACAGAGGAATTATAGCTCAGCACTTTACGCCCACGTAGTGTCTAATAACCCAATTGCTTTGTATCAGATTTCGGCAACACAGGATAGGGGTCACAATCACGTGGACGCAGCAGATCCGTGCCTGATTACAATTCCTCCCATTGAACAATATGCAGCAGATTACACTTTTGCAACACCCCAATACTCCAAAGGCGAGTATCAGAACTATTTCATGTTTGTAATTGACTCCAGTCAGACTGCAGGTCTGATTCTAGATGGAAAACCGCTGCCACAAAATCAAACGTATGTCCACATACCCGGCACCAATCTAGCGGCGGGATTTGTGAATATATCTGTGGGTACCCATACCGTCACGCATAACAACCCGAACACGGTTATTGGTGGTATAGTGTTCGGAAAAGCCAAACTCGAGTCGTATGGATTTCCAATCGGTCTGCTTACACAACCTGTTAATTCTGTGAGTGTATTCCGGCTATCCAGTATTAATCGATATAAAAAATGATCAAAACATAAAGCATTATAAAATTTGAAAAATTAAACGACGACGTATATATCTTATGATCATCAGCAATTGTTTATTCAAGTTGCTCAAATATACAGAGACAAACATTTGAAAATTTAAAATTTCTTACACTGTATTTAACCTTAAGACTGAAACCCAAATACAATGTATATTTGTAATTCATCTTTACTTAATAAGCACTAGCACTGTCTAGCAGTAGTTCATTAGGTACCTGTGCAAACAAATGTTTAAGTTTGCTATTCCTTCTATTTCTAAATGAAAAAAAGATGCTTTAAATAATGCCATAAAATGACTCAATGACAGATTTTTAAAATTGCTTCGCGATTAGTTTCATGCATTGCAAGAGCTATTTTTAGGCAATGATGGAAACGATTCTGAGAATTAAGTTATTTGTCTCATTATATATTTGAAATAGTACATCTTTTGTTATAGGGTTGTCATGCGAAGGCGATGTCTCCGGGTGATGAAGTAGATAACGATTGTGACGGAGAGGTAGATGAGGAGGACTGCGATGGAAAAGGTTCGTTAAAATCAATTATGTGCCCTTTTAATAAATACATGTAACAAAGATTTCCTCAATATAAAAGCAAAAGATGCTTCAGTAGAATATTTTAGAGCATTTTATTTTGTTCCAGACGATGATGCAGATGGAAGGATAGACGAGGACTGTAGTGGGACGCCCTTGAGTGAGTCTTATTCACTTCCCTTCATCATTTATTAATATGTTCTGAAAGAAAAATCTATTGCTTCTTACAACCTATCTTCATAATGAAGAGTGAAATATTTCTTTGTTTTCTTTACAGCGGTTATCGGAAGGAAGTGAAACTTTTATGTCAATAAATCAAAATTTAAGCTTTTCTGAGTGTTTCTTTTCCTAGTCGTGATATTCATCCATTTTTTTTTTATTTCGACACAAGGGGTAGTCATGGTAAGTAAAAATTGAAATTTCTGTTAACTTTTAAAATGCTACTCTACATTCAGTTTAAGTGTGATTTTAAATCTGATTATGAAGTCAATTACATACAGTATATAGACATACAGTATACGTGATTTTTTTTTTTATACTCAACAAAGGTAATACCATGGTTACTTTAAATAGAATATTCTGCGAACTGTTACGTCTCATACAGTTTGAATGATTGTAGCGTACCTTGCAGGATTTTTTTCAGTCATACGAGACGTCACCATATACCGGTTGAGGATTTCAGATTAGGACCTTTACTGGCACTCAGGCCATTGTTAGTCCCCTACCGGTGAAACCAGAGGGGACTATAGGTTTCCTTTGAGTCTGTCCGTCCGTCTGTCTGTCTAGCTGTCCGTCTGTCTGTCCCTCTGTCAGTCTGTCCCACTTGGTTTTCCGCACTTTTTTTTTCTAAACGCTTGTAGATATTGAGCTGATTTTTGGTATGTGACTATACCTTGATGAGTTATAGATCAAGTTTGCATTTCGTTTTGCTTCATTGATTTTTGACGGAATTATGGCATTTTCAATTTTTAACGCGAACCAGATTACACTTTCCGGTAGGGGACTAGTATTGCTAATGCAATACTCTCAGAATGCTTGTTTAAAGAGCTATAGTTCATTATCGTGCCAACGCCATGACGCGAGACATCGATTTTTAAGGTCTCATGGACAACAAGGTTATTTACCAGTGATAATTAACAAATAATAATAAACCACAGATCTACTTTCATTAAAACTTATTTTAGAGCGTTTGCTCTAGAGTCGCAGAGTAAGGAGTTGATCCTTACGTCGCGGGTTCGAATCCCACTGAGGGACGTCGAGACCGGTCCTTCGGATGAGACCGTATAAACCGAGGTCCCGTGTCGCAGTAGGTGCTGGATCGAAAAAGATCCCCCACTGCTCAATCGCCCTAAGAGCCGGGTATAGTTCAAAATTTGCAGCTCTCCACCGGCAAGTGGTGGCGTCTCCAAATGATTGAAAAATTCTCAAGAGGGACGTTATACAACATGCAAGCAAACAAAATTTCATCTAAGCTAAATTACTATACACAAAACAAAGTTTCCGTAAAAATAAATGTGTAGATCAAACTACTCTATGGCCAGCAACGTGAAACATTCAGAATTTAGGAATATTTTTAACAGAAATAACTTTTCAAAGAAAACTTCTTTTTATATGATATAATTTGGAAAAAAGTCATCTTATGCATTTCGTTTATATATCTATCATCTAAAAAGTTCTTTAAGATTCCCATGACAAAATCTGCGTGAAAAAACATTGGGATGCTTCAATATCATTATGATTAACTTGGCCTTGCAGTTTTTAAGATTATTTTTTTAAAATGCATTTTGTAAAATGTGATCCCCATTTTAGTAAACTTTAACCCATGGGGGCATAATTAAAAAAAAATTAATCCACACAGTTTAGGAATCTTTGTATATGTGTGGCATGATTGTGGTTCTTGCGAAGATTTTCAAAATTTATTTCCTATTAATTAAGTCCCATGTAAAACTTCAATACTTTAAGGACCCTCTCTACACTGCACCCTAATTTGAGGGTACTTTTGTGTAGTTAGACTGACCCGCCACTTGACATAAAATAGAATAAGTTGTAATCTGCACTGTATGACATAATTTAAAATAAATTCAAGTGTTCTAAACATTATATTAGACCAAGATAGATTAGTTGAAGACATTATTTGCATGTATTTTCTCCATCTGATTAAGGAAAAGCGATTTTTCTTAATCACTACTTCATTGTCTTTGAAGATTTTTCCCGGATTAAAAAAGGCAGGCTCCCTATATTAAAAATGAATTAGTTAATTTCAAAATATCCTTCTTTACGTTATATAATTTTTTTAAAGTCCAAAAAACATTTTTCATCGGTGTATAGAGGGTCCTTAAAAGTATTGTTCCTATATATTTTATTGTAAATCTTTGATCCCCCTAATGTGGCCCAAACCTACTACGGGGGTTATGAATTGTACTATTAAAATTCCACAATTCCCCAGGAAGCTACCACATAATTTTCATCTTTTCTGGCCCAGTGGTTCTAAAGAAGATTTTTAAAGAATTTTTCTAGGTATTTCAATGTAAAACTTTGATTCCCTATTGTGGCCCCACCCTACCCCTGGCGGCCATGATTTCAACAATTTAGAATCTACACAACCTCAGGAAGCTTTCTCCTAAGTTTCATTTCTTCTGGCCCAGTGGTTCTTGAGAAGAAGATTTTTAAAGATTTTTTTAATATGTACATCAATGTAAAACTACCGTTCACGGTAGCTCAGTCGGTAGAGCGCTCGCTCCGTGATCGGGAGGTCGTGAGTTCGAATCTCGGCCGCGACAGACCTAAGTCGATAAAAAATAGGTAGCAACTGTTCCTTCGCCATGCGCTCGGCACTCAGAAGTGAAAGTTGCGGGTCCTTCGGATGAGACCTTAAAAACCGAGGCCCCGTGTCACGGCAGGCGTTGGCACGATAAAGATCCCTCACTGCTCAATGGCCCTGAGTGCCGAGTAAAGGTCAAAATTTGAAGCCCTTCACCGGTATATGGTGACGTCTCTATATGAGTGAAAAATTCTCGAATGGGACGTAAAACAATATACAATCAATCAATCAATGTAAAACTGAATTCCTATTGTGGCCCCATCCTTCCCCTGGGGGCCATGATTTGAACAATTTAGAATCTACACTACCTGGGGAAGCTTTTACATAAGTTTCATCTCTTCTGGCCAAGTGGCTCTCGGGAAGAAGATTTTTAAAGAATTTTTCCCATGTCTTTCAATGTAAAACTAGGATCCCCTATTTTGGTCCCTCTATACCCCAGGGGATTATGATCTGAAAAATTCAGAATCTTCATAACCTCAGAAAACTTTCCACACCAGATTCATTTTTCTTCTGCAATGGTTCTTGATAAGAAAATTTTGAAAGATTTTTCTCCTAGGTATTTCAATGTAAATATTTAAACTTTGATCCCCTATTGGGGCTCCACCTTACCCCCAGGGGTCATGATTTGAACAATTTAGAATCTAAAGTACCTCATAAGGCTTCCGAATAAGTTTCATTTCTTCTAGTCCAGCATTTTTTAGAAGACTTGACTTTGACTTTTCTTGATTAACTCCCCTTGGAATAGGACTTGGTCTTTTATTTTGAATAATTAAGAATCCCCTTCATCAAGGATGCTTTGTGCAGATTTTGGCTAAGATTGGCCCAGCGCTTCTTGAAAAGACGTCGAAAATGTTAAAAGCTGACAGACGGACAGACAGACAGACGGTCGCCGGACACCAGGTCATCAGAAAAGCTCACGAGCTTTCAGAGCAAGTGAGCTAAAAACACCGAAAGAATGAATTAATTGTGGCTGATTTCTATCTGAAACTAACACCGCGCTAAATTGACTATTTATTGATTTAATTTTGATTTCTTTTTTATTTTACTGGTTATAGTTAAACCATCAAAAATATTACAAAGTTGTCTCTCGTCTTCCCTGATAAGCTCAAGTAAGCTTAAGTTACACAAATCTACAAGAAAATTAACCAGTAATTCTGTGAAGGGCATTTCCAGGTCTTTAAGTGTCCTCCCTATCATTTCAAAATGTTTAGGTAATTAGAATAAAATGTAGTTATCTATATTGAAAAATATAATTTTAATCCATTTGTGGCGGCTCATTAAACTAAGGTTAGTTATAAATCAATTCTAGTAACAGTGACTGAAGATTGAAAAAAGGCTTTGATCGCTGCAATTCTGGTGGATCTTTCAGATGCTTCTTCTTGCCTCACCCCTCATTTGCTGCACAAAGCATCTGACTTACCAAATCAGTATTACATTTATGACGTAAAAAAAAACAATAATGAAATTAGTTGCCCAGTAGAAATTTTCAAAATTAATAAAAAATAAATTGTTTTAAAAGAGTTTCTTGTACATGTAGTTGTTGCATTGTTTATCGTTTCGATCACCAAAAGAGCAACCAAAAGTAAATAAATGAATAAATAAACGATTTGCATTAAAAGTAAACTTGTCATCTGCATACTAACGATCCTTATCTTCGAGATAGCCTATTTTGATTTACATGGACAACCTTTATCTGTACTGCTACCTCTACAATTATGGCGAACAAGTTGTGGATTTTTGCCCTGATGGTGCTTCCCTTCGTTAAAGGTGAGCTCTATCAAATATGTTTTGCCAAAAGCTGAAGGAGAAAATTCAATTAATTAACCACTCATTTACAGCGAAGTACAAAATTGTGTTTCAAATGTTTTATCATATAGATATCCACTATAATCAACAAATTAGCGTATAATTAGCGTATTTTACGACGATATTTCGGCCAGTTTGTCCACGGGTGATGAGTAAAAGACGAGATCACCAGTGGGTATCCGACAATGATGCTTTATTAGTCACCAACCGGTGAAACCGGAGGGGCAATAAGTTTCCTCTGAGTCTGTCCGTCTGTGTGTCTGTCTGTCCCTCTGTCAGTCTGTCCCTCTTGGTTTTCCGCATTTTTCTCTAAACGCTTGCAGATATTGAGCTGATTTTTGGCGTGTTACTTTACCTTGATGAGTTACAGATCAAGTTTGCATTTCGTTCCGCTTCATTGATTTATGACGAGATTATGGCATTTTCAATTTTTAACGGGAGCCAGATTACACTTGCCGGTAAGGGACTAGTATTGCTTATGCAATACTCTCAGAATGCTTATTAAATAGTGAATCTGATGTAAGGTTATATTTGTTCATGCAAGTTAATAATCCTTATAACAGAAATGATATGAAATAAGCATTGAACAAATAAATTTAAACCAAATAAGATATTTCTTCACAGTGTTATATGCGGTCCTTCGGATGAGACCGTATAAATCGAAGTCCCGTGTCGCAGTAGGTGCTGGCACGAAAAAGATCCTTCACTGCTCAATTGCCCTCAGTGCCGAGTCAAAATTTGCTGCTCTCCCCCGGCAAGTGGTGACGTCTCCATATGAGTGAAAAATTCTCCAGATGGACGTTAAACAAAACAAAGAAACAAACAAAACAAAACAGTGTTATATTCGATGCTAAAACTGTACAACGTTCATCAATTATCAAAAGAATCAATAAATATAGGATTTGGCGGTGCTTCACAAAACCCCTGCCAGACAAAGTCCATTCTAAGAGAAAATGAACTACCAAAAAGTTCTAGTCTAGGTATCCTCAAACGCTTCAAAAAAAATCCTGCCATACAAATCATGCTTTCAACCATTCCGATAATTCGTAGTGTTTTTACCCTGCTATATCGTTTATTTGTATGAGTGATGAATCTAAAGAAATGGAAGCTTCAACAAAATTCCATTAACTTTGTCCTTCTTCTTTTTGAAGGGAAAAAATCTATTTTAATCCAAAGATTTAAAAATAATTCATTTACAAGATTTAGAAAATTGAAAAAAAAAAAAAACAAAACAAAAAAAAAACAAATCAAATCTTGTTAAAGACAGTTCACGTACTTTTTTGACTTAGGTGATTTGTTCAGTTAATTACTGTTAAATGCATTTCGAGCCTTGTTTCATTAACATCAACTTCTTTGTTTAACATTTGATTACTTTTACATTTCTTTCCTGTAATAGATTATAGTTAATTATAGGAATCTTAATTGTAGTTTTTTTTTAAATTAAGGGTTGCATGACTAGTGAAAGTTAGGTGTGTATAAGAAGGTACTTGAAATAGCAAGTGATTACAACACCATACGATTTTTATTGCACACATCGTGTGAGTTGTAGCACTCTAAAATGATTTTAATAATATAAAATGTTTGTATTTACATTGTATCCTTTCTAAAACATACCATAAGCGGTATTGTTATGCTAGCAAATGACAGATTGAGAAGAAACACACACATAGTCAATCTCTCTCTCGTATTATATTCCAAAACAAACGTTAAAGATGCATTTACTAAAACATTGAAAATATTTTAAAGGAATCAAAAATACTGACTTCATATTTCTGAATAAGAATTCCCATTATGTGTCGTCGCCTTTGCAAAGTGTTCAGAATGTTTGTCATGGGATGTAACTGGGCTCTTCAACTGCAAGAATCATAATTGATACCTACTCAATTTTGAAAATAACTGTTAAAGTATACAATCATGTATGATTTCTCATTTTAGGAGCACTGGACAGTAAAGGGAAACAGTTTATTATAACGTTTATGGATAACAAGATTCTACAGCACACAGACATCAATCCCGAGATCTTCATTACCACTTCCAGCAATAAACCTGTACACGTCAATGTGACGTCACCACGATCTCGCAATCCACATATAAATCAACAGTTTGTTGTAACTCGCGGAGTTGTGCACCGAGTTGCCGTCGATCAGGACTTCCGATTGAATCACACCGAGCTAAGCACCAAAGGAATTTTGATCTCGGCTGATGAAGAAATCGTAGTATATGGAGTAAATAGAGAGGTCTACTCGGACGATGCCTACTTGGCACTGCCTACAGATGTCCTGGGGAAAGAATACTACACCATTTCCTACTCCCCGTCCTATTATTATTGTGTGTTTGCAGTGATCGGTGTCCATGACCACACTCGTGTTCATATCAAGCTAGCTAATCATCCAAACATTAGCGTGAATTTCCACGGTCATGTCTACCACAGAAACCAGTGGATAAACGTTACCCTTAACCGCTTCAGCACCCTTGAAATCTCTTCCGTTGGGGACCTCACAGGAACTCACATCATATCAAACAAAGCTGTGGGTGTCATAAGTGGTAACAAGAAGGCTGTTGTGGCTATTGCTGGCAGCACTGGTAATTCACGTGACCATCTGACAGAAATGTTACTACCTGTCCAGGCCTGGGGTAAAAACTTTGCTACAGTGCCAATTCCTGAAAGAGATGTAGGTGACATTTTCAGATTCGTTGCCAGCCAAGGACACACCAGTGTTAAAGTAACTGGAGTCATTGATGGTAAAAATTTTACGGACCATTTTTTTCTCAGTCATGCTGGACAACATGTGCAAAGGAATTACAGCTCTAAGTTGTACGCTCATGTGACATCTAATCATCCAATTGCTGTGTATCAGCTCTCGGCAACACAGGCAAAACATTCCAATCTGCCTTCAGATGCAGCAGATCCGTGCCTAATTACAATTCCTCCCATTGAACAGTATGCTGCAGATTACACTTTTGCGACACCCCAATACTCCAAAGGCGAGTATCAAAACTTTTTTATGTTTGTGGTTGATTCCAGTCAAACCGCTGGTCTGATTCTAGACGGAAAACCACTGCCACAAAATCAAACGTATGTCCACATCCCAGGCACCAATCTAGCAGCGGGATACGTCAACATATCAGTTGGTACCCATACCGTCACGCACAGCAATCCGAACACAGTAATTGGCGGTATCGTGTTCGGTAAAGCTAACCTCGAGTCTTATGGATTCCCTATTGGTCTGCTAACAAAACCTGTTAATTCTGTGAGTGAATTATGGAATAATCATTTAATCATATACTATATACAATCAAAGAAAAATAAATTAACCTTGATCAATTGTCATTCAAGTTTATTAAACACATAGGAACATTGTAAGAGGATTTTTTTTTAGATATGGCAATAAGAATTAATGAAGTACTATTATGTACGTCATTGTTTATTTGGAAGTAGTATATATTTTGTTATTCTAGGGTTGTCATGCGAAGGCGATGTCTCCGGGTGATGAAGTCGATAACGATTGTGACGGTGAGGTAGATGAGGAGGACTGCAATGGAAAAGGTTCGTTAAAATCAATTATGTACCATTATTAAGTAACAGGGTAGATTTCCTCAATGCAAAAAGCACAGGACACTAAAACAGTATATTTTAATTTTGTTTCAGACGATGATGCAGATGGAAGGATAGACGAGGACTGCAGTGGAGAGCCCTTGAGTGAGTCGCATTTGCTTCTCTTTACCAATTTATTCATTTGTTTTGGGTAGAAAAAAACTATTCTTATTAGTTTGTCTTTCAAATGAATAATGAATTAATTCTCATTTTCTTTTCTTTTCAGCGGTTATTGGACGAAAGTGATTTTTTTTTATGTCAATAAAACAAAAAATCCATTTTTTACCTCTGGGTGTACGACAAGAAAAGCTAATTAATTGGTAAGGTGTCCGTCGTCCGTTTGACTATTCGGCTGTAATTTTTTTTTTCGAAACACGCCTCCATCTACAGTTTTATTCCTATCCCAGTAAAAACTTAATACTCAATTTCTGCTCTTAACACATTTATAAATACGATGATTTACTTATATCTATCTAAATCGACTGTATCAAATTTTGATTATAGCCTTACTCTTCATCAAAATATTAACTGCAGTGAAGGAGAAACTTCAGACGTATAATTGTTCTATAAGCTATCTTCACGAAGTGCTGTGAAGGAGAAACTTCAGACGTATAATTGTTCTATAAGCTATCTTCACGAAGTGCTGTGAAGGAGAAACTTCAGACGTATAATTGTTCTATAAGCTATCTTCACGAAGTGCTGTGAAGGAGAAACCTCAGACGTATAATTGTTCTATAAGCTATCTTCACGAAGTGCTGTGAAGGAGAAACTTCAGACGTATAATTGTTCTATAAGCTATCTTCACGAAGTGCTGTACAGGAGAAACTTCAGACGTATAACTGTTCTATAAGCTATCTTCACGAAGTGTTGTGAAGGAGAAACCTCAGACGTATAATTGTTCTATAAGCTATCTTCACGAAGTGGTGTAGTTCAAATGTGGATTCTAAAAACAAAGAATTTTTGAAAAAGAAATTTCAAAACTTTTCAAGCATAAATAGCATCAAAACATATGACTTTTTCTACGCTTTATCCAACCATTCCTCACGATAAATTAAGAGCAGGGGCCCGTTTTACAAAAGAACTTACGACTAAGACCAAAAACTTAAGTTGAATTGTAAAATTTTGCAAAATTAATAATTATGTTTAAAAATTGCTAGCGTAATAATATCTTTCTCCATTCCATTTAAAAAGATTAAAACCATTTTCAATTCAATGTAAATTAAAAAGGTATAAACAGAATAAAATTTTGATCTTAGTCGTAAGTTCTTTTGTAAAACGGGCCCCAGGCTTTTTAACAACATAGCCAATAGCTTCCTCAATATAATGAAACTCGTAAATTTTCATATCTTGTGATTGGTCATCTACAAAATTACTTTGTTTAAAATAACTCTGATTCTACATAACAGTGCGCTGAAGTTGATATTAAAAAGATGCTGGAGTTCTTATTGACAATATCTTTGTAGTTTTTGGAGCCAAGGTCTTCCAACAATCTTTTGGAAATCCGATGAGCACTAAATGTGTTTTTTTTTATCCGACCTGTTTTTATATTCCTATGAACATACTTTATCCAAAAACCAGACATGAAAACTCTTGCTGTGGCCTCCAAATCAACATTTAGATATTAATGCGACGTTTAATTAACTAACAATAGTTACTTTAATTCATATGTCGATATATCTCAGTTAAGTCGAAAATAGAGCCTGTCATATCTGTTTCATATGTGGATGTTTTACGATAATGGACAACTAATTACAAAACTGTATGTCAAACAAGATGACTTCAGTTTTCCATCGTCAATTTCCTTTTATTTATGTACAAGTTTTCCAACATCACCTGGCTATGATGTTTATGTCTCCCAACTGATTCGATACGCAAGGGCATGCTCTGAATACGATTAATGTTTAAACAGAGGGAAGCTACTTATAAATAAGTTGATGTTACAAGGATTTCAACAATCCTGTTTAAAGCCTTTTTTTGGTTACCACTGATGACACCTACGACCTTGTTTGATACGATATGAGTTCCAAGGTTTACAAGACATTTGACATAGGGTGCACGCGGCGTTTCCAAATATAAGAATCAAAACTTCAGCGTAGTTCTGGAAAAAAGACGTGAAAATTTATTTATGTGTAATTATGTAAGATTTATCATTTTGAGAAGCATTGGACAGTGAAGTGAATTTGAAGATCAAATCCTCAGTGTTTTTAGCTCACCTGAGCTGAAAGCTCAAGTGAGCTTTTCTGATCACCTGTTGTCCGTCGTCTGTCCTTAAATTTTTCACATTTTCAACTTCTTCTCAAGAACCAATGGGTTAAATTTTAACCAAAGTTAGTACAAAGAATTTTTGGGTAAAGGGAAGATTAAATTGTTAAAATGAAGGGCCAATTCTTTTTACAAGGGGAGATAATCAAGAAAAGACAAAAATAGGGTGGGATCATTAAGAAATCTTCTTCTGAAGAATCACTGGGTCAGAAAAGCTAAAACTTATGTGGAAGCATCCTGGGGTAGTGTGGATTCTAAATTGTTCAAATCATACCCCCGGAATAGGGTGGGCCTCAATAGGGTATCAAAGTTTTACATTGAAAAATATAGGAAAAATCTTTGAAAATCTTCTCAAGATCCACTGGGCCAGAAAAGCTGAAACTTATGTGGAAGATATCTGGGGAAGTGTAGATTCCAAATTGTTCAAATCATGGCCCCTGGGGTAGGGTGGGGCCATAATAGGGAATCAAAATCTTACATTGAAATATATGGGGAATGCTTCCTGGGGTAGTCTTAATTCTAAACTGAGTTTTACATTGAAATATATAGGAAAAAGCCTTCTTCTCAAGAATCAAATGGCCAGAAAAGCTGAAACATATATGGAAGCATCCTGGGGTAGTGTAGATTCTAAATTGTTCAAATCATGAAAAGCAGAGCCAAAGTAACTCAGGTGAGCGTTGTGACTCATTGTATTGCTGTCTTTTGGAAGGAGTATTATAGTGAATGTATATTTAAAAAAGATTTGTTTAATTTTACCCTTTGTTATTGTAGGGTTGTCATGCGAAGATGATGTCTCCGGGTGATGAAATCGATAACGATTGTGACGGCCAGGTAGATGAGGGGGACTGCTATAGGAAACGGTAAATGAAATAAGTGAGATAAAAAAGTACTCACACCTTTTAAAATTCCTAATATGCACTATAGGTTAACCTCTTAAAAAATCTGAAAAATGGAATGTAAACTGTCCAAACTCGAAAATCCTATTTCTTGGGATTGGACCTTTGTCTTACTTTTTTAGTACATTTCTTTTTCAAATCCTGGAATTTGCCAGTGCTTGACATTACAACAACAAAAAGTGGGGGGGAGCATCTAAATGAAAAATTACTATAGCAAAATACCATACTCAGAAAAAAAGTGTCCCGTGTTCTACGGGCCAAAAATGTTTACCATGCTCCTTTTTTAAACAATTTCCAATTGATTTGATCTTTGATCATCATATTATTTGCTAATGTGAAAAAAAGAATGTTGTCAAATCGGAAGATTTTTAGTAACCTGTTGGTCGCTTACTTTTCCGATCGAGTAACCGGATACTCATATGTTTTTTTTTCTTCAGACCTCTAAATATCCTTGTTCACGTTGTATACACTCATTAGTGACTGTAATATACACTATATGTAATGCCATCATAGTCATTACAATTTCTATATTTATCATTTGTAAAACGGAAATGCACGGCATGTGAATTTTATTTATAATTACAAACACACACTATCTTAATAAATTTGTTCTCAAAACACACTGTAAAAGTTGTCTGTTTTGCGGGATGTCCTTTACATATCGCGGGTTTCAGAGTTAAATTTCAGTCTGCGGTGGTTTAGCATATATGTTAATCCCATTTTACATAAATAACACCTCACGGATTTAAAATAAGCCATTCTTTTTAAATATTTCTATGCTTTTGATACACGTGGCGGTATCGTCTTTCATGTTGTAATGCGGACTAGATTACACAGGTTTATTTGATTTGGTTATAATTAACGCAAGTCTTCAAAAACGTGTATACACACCCCTTGACAATCAAAGCCATCAATTATAAAAAGTGTGAAAAAAAACTAATCAAAACAAATGGATCATATTGGTAAAACATTAGGTCTTACTTTAAATTGATCTAACGGTTAATAAAATGGTAAATAAAAGGGGGAGGCATGAATAAACAAAAAATTACATTTTTTCTACTGATTTACTATGTAAGAGGACGATTTATCCTAGTAACCGAGTAGCAGTTTTACTAACCGATGATTAACCGGTTAACCGAGTACTCGTTGACAACACTACAAAAAGGTATGGGATTTTTTGCTGCTTCAGAGTTTTTTTTTTCAGGCGGATTTTTTTCCCTTTTAACTGTGGTGGCTCTTCCCCATTCTTTTTCAAATTGCTGGTTACCGTCACGGTAGCTCAGTCGGTAGAACGCCCACTCCATGATCGGAAGGTCGTGTGATCGAATCACGGCTGCGACTGACTTAAGTCGATAAAAAATAGGTAGCAACTGTTCCTTCGCCAAGCGCTCGGTACTTTGAAGTGAAAGTTGTGGATCCTTCGGATTAGACCTCAAAAACTGAGAACCTCACTGCTCAATGGTCCTGAGTAGAGGTCTAAATTTGAAGCCCTTCCCCGGTATTTGGTGACGCATCTATATGAGTGAAAGCTTCTCGAATGGGACGTAAAACAACATACAATCAATCAAATTGTTGGTTCTCTGCGCTTGAGAACCAGTTGAATTTATGGATACAAGAACATAATGATATTGTATATAGTATATCATTGAGAACTTTTGTTTCAATGACCTTGACGATAGGATAGACAAGGACTGTAATGTTGCGCCCCTGAGTGAGTAGTGGACACTTCTGTCTAGTTTGTGGGGAAAGTCTGTAAGAATATTGAGTCATTTAACTTTTTTGGATAACTTTGCTAGATCATTCTCCGAATGCATTGTATGTTTAAAATTCTGCTAAGCAAACTCAGTCTCTTTTTTCAATTCTATCTTATCGTAATCAAATGTGAATACTTAAAAACAACAAAAAACTTTTAGAAAATTTGAAATCATACAATTTCACCAAAATCAATAGCTTCAAAATGTATGACTTTTCAATACTTAATACAACCATTCCACAGATCAGACTTTTTGACATCATAGACAACTGCTTCTTCCATAGAAATGGAACTCAATTCGCACACTTTGTCATTAGTAATCTGCAAACTTATACTTATTATGTAAAATCATTCTGATTCTGAAACAGGTACTCCAAGGTTGATATAGAAAAGATGCTTGAGTTTCTCATTGTCAATATCTATATAGTTTTGTGATCTGGTCTTCAAATAATCTGTTGAAATTGTCATCGGTACAAGTTAGCAGACCTGTTTTTGTATTCTTATGAAGCAGAATTCATTCTAGTCTTCTACATGAAAAGAAGTCTCTCTCTTTTACTTCAATTCAACATTTAGATATATCGTTTTTATCGTTTTTTCGATTAACAATATTCATTTCCATTCCGAAATTGATTCTATATATCCCAGTGAACTCGAAATAAAAGACACCAGAGTCTGACACATCTGCTTCATATTAGGATATTTTACTATAGAAAGACAACTGGTGACTTCAGCATTTCTAACGTCAACAATCTTTTCCCCCGTAACAATATACCATTATCACTTGTACATAGAGTTTGTGTCTCCCAGCTGATTCGAAACACAAGGGTATGTTCTACGTATGAACATTTTCTAAAACGAAGCCGACCATTGGCAAATAAGCTGATGATACAAGGATATCAACAATCTCTTATAAAGTCAATATTCCGCAAATATAATGACCTTGTTTGCATATGCAATCTGTCGTTAGGTCGAATACTGATTAAAGCCTTTTTTTTTTTTACAAATTGTTAGGCCATTATTTTTACACTGAATCGTGTACAGGTTTTTCCTTTTAACAGATCATTACAAGAGGCACAAGGCAGATTTGACCGGTCGACATGAGATGCTTACTCCTCCATGACACCTGATCCCATTCCTGTTTTCAGAGGTCTGTTTGGCTCTGCTCGCAATATATTTTGTTTATAGGGACTTTTGTACATGATCACTGTTCTTTAACTTCTTTATCTTCACATTTCATGATACAATAAAATAAGCATAGAACTAATCAATTACGTGGACCCAATAGATACTAAGCTCATCGAAATTCCTGAAAATCCAGAATAATCAGTATTCATTAGTCTGTATACCAAGAAAATAACAGTGTCCAGTCATTAGGTATGTAAAAAATAAATATTCTAAGATTTGCCTCACTTATTTTTAAAAGTATCCAAGTTTTCTTATTCTATATCTATCAAAGATTAATGAAGTAAAGATAAAAGAACATCTATTATTGTTTTAATTTTATATCCATGTATTTGCATCATCCACCTCGTTGATGTATATCCGCTTGGGAAGCCTCGCGAATATTTAAAGCAAGTATGAAATCACTCAGTATCCTCTATGTATCTACACGTATAACAAAAATTGCATAAATGTTCACGAAATTCATATACACCCAAGGCACCGATTCTATGAAGTTTGTTTTGTGTATGATTTATAGATTTTTAAAAGATGTATTCTGCTGAGATAACTTATTTAACTTTACAATCTTGCCAAAATATTCATGATATTCATGATTTGAAAGAAAATACGACGTAAAAATGAGTTAGTGAGCGTATTTTTGAGATACAAGGCATTGAATATAAGGCGAAAAACCAGAGTTCTTTCTATGAAAACAATCAGAATCAAATTGCGAAAAGAAAATAGTGGGTTAGTGGGCAAAAATGTATGCATATTTTGATGGATAAAACCAGAAGAGTTCCATAAAAATGGCTGACACCTCTGCATAATCAACAAAATACATTTTTAAGGAAGTTCGATCCTGAGGTTTAGAATAATTTTTTGTCTGGACCTTTATTTCTTATTTAAGTTCTTACATCAAATTTGGATTCTACAATGCAAATTAAACTATATTCAAGAAAAAAAAACGGCGATTAAATTCCATACAAATAGGATTAAGCCGGGAACTATATTTTGTTGCGGGGGTATATAGTTTTTGCCTTGTCCGTCCGTCTGTCTGTCTGTTTTTCTGTTTATCTGTTTGTCCGCAAAAACTTTAACAATGCTTATAATTTTTGATTGGTTAGAGCTATAGCTTTCATACTTCACATGTGTATTGCTTGTGACAAGACCTTTCTTTGGGTGCCATCATATTTGACCTTTTGATCTTGACCTTGGAGTTTGACCCAGTTTTACAAAATTTTACCCAATTTTAACCTTGGCCATAATTTTTGAACAGTTGCGGCTAGGGCTTTCATACTTCACATTTGTAATCCTTGTGACAAGACCTTCCTTTGGATACCAACAACTTTAACCTTGACCTAGGAGTTTGACCTACTTTTGAAAAAACTTTAACCTTGGTCATAATTTTAAAACGGTTGGTGCTAGGGCTTTCATACTTCACATATGTCTTGTGACAGGATCTTCCTTTGGATACCAACAACTTTGACCCTTTGACCTTGACCTGGGAGTTTGACTTACTTTTCTAAAATGTTAACCTTGGCCACTTCTTTTGAACAGTTGGTGCTAGGGCTTTCATTCTTAACATGTGTATTACTTGTGACAAGACCTTCCTTTAGATACCAACAATTACAGCCCTTGTAGTTTGACCTACTTTTTGAAAACTTTAACCTTGGCCATTACTTTTGAGCTGTTTGTGCTAGGGCTTTCATACTTCACATATGTAATCCTTGTAACAAGGCCTTCCTTTGGATACCAACAAATTTGACCTTTTGACCTTGGAGTTTGACATACTTTTGAAAAACTTTAACCTTTTCCATATCTTTTCAATTGTTGCTGCTAGGGCTTCATATTTCACAGGAATATTCCTCGGGATAAGACCTTACTTTGGGTACCAATATATTTGATTTGCATCTGAGAAAGTTTAACCTTCGCTATAAGTTGACACACGGGGGCAACAGTGTTTCACAAAGTTTTAGAAGAAATTGAACAATTT